TGTGAGTGGCACGGACGCAAGCAGGCTTTTCGTATCGGAAACGGGGCCCAGCTGGACCTAAGGTAGTTGGGCCTAAAGGCCTCCATGTCAGAACACCTGCACAGATCGCTGAAACAATTGCACATGCATGTTTGACCAAGTGCTGCTGATTGGAAGCTGAATTCACAGCTCCAGAGGAATTCTTGTTGGTCAAACTATCTTCTATTGTAGCCTATCTCTTTATGCATGTCAAGACGGGATTTCAACGTCTATGACTCCTCAGTAATACCAAAACGCCCGGCTCTCAAAAGCTCTCTCAACGCCTCGCTGCGGCCACCACGCTTCGTTAAGCAGTCAGCTGGCATCGCCAGATGCTCGATCCAACGAATCCGCCCAAATAATTCGCTCAGCTCTTCACGCAAGACCTGAACATCCAGTGCATTTCTTCTGTCACTCCCTCCTGTGGTCTCATGGATGAGTAAGTCGAAAAGTGATTTGGCGTCTATAATGGCTACTGCTTGAGTCAATGCCTCTGGTTCTTCATACTTTGTAAATGCAGTATACCCTTCATAACCTACAAATTTCCTCCAATCGCGATGTTCAAATTCGGGATTGACAATCTCTAAATACATCACCATCATCCACAGCAAGTCTCCAACTCCACGTGCTAAAGACTGGGTTTCTGCCACTAAAATACTATTCACCGTTCTTTGCAATTTTCCAGACTTCCAGTGAAGAAGGTTCATTGTGGCTGGTTTTCCTTCCAACATGCTTTTCTTAAATATCACCAGCATGTGTCCTGCCCGTATCTTGCCATTTCGAGCATTCGCCCATAAAGCATCGCTGAAAATTCCCCACTTCATATTCTCCTCTATGATAGGCTGAATTCTCAAAGAGAGCTCTGAATCGGCCTGAAGCTGGCTCACTACCTTGTTCAATTCGAACACGTCCGAAATCTTTATCTGAGAAATAAGAAAACTAAACATGGATGCCGCCGACGAAGCATCGGGTCGGCCTTCCCTTCCTGCCCAGTTCAGCGCTCCACAAGTACTTCTAACCATGGTGCGCTCTTCCTCATTGATCTCCTTTTGTTTAAGTTTTGCTCTGGCTGGGTCCAATCTCACTAGCTGCAACCTTTCTTCAATAAAGGCTTTCATGTCGATTCTCATCTCCTTTCCAACTTGTTTTAAACGCCTACCATTGAAGCTTACACCCTTCTCGTTCAACACCTCTAACTTGCCAAAGGTGAATCTCTCTTGTAATTGTTTCATTCGCTCATCATGAACGCTGTCGTCAAACATAAGCAAGTCATCCACTTCTACTGCAATTATTCCATACAACGTCCCATCCACGTGAAGCAAATAAGTGCACGGGTCCAAGGAGCTCTGACGATACTGCAGGGTCTCGGTCAAATAAGATATCAGAATTCGACATCAATTAAGCGGGGCGTCCACCAAACCATAACATCCCAATACTATCTTTGTAATCTATTCCGGGTGCAAACCAGGCATACTCCCATAACAGGAGCGGCAATAAATTGGCCCATTTTCTCTAACGAGAGGCATACTTTGTGTGAAAGCAGACTTCAAATCGCCTATTTTGCCTTTGTATCCTCTGTTCACGGCTGCTTGTATGAGCACCTGCAGATTTGAGGTTGTGACAGTTGGGGCAAAGCGGTTCAAATGAATAGCATCCGGATCTCTGTCACCTCGAATGTAAAATCTGCTCTTCAATTTTTTTGGCTCGCCTGACTGGTCTCCAGGCTTATAGCTCCTCACCATACGGCTGGGCAAGATTCGATTTGCCTCCAGCTTTCAAACGTACTGTGACCTTTCTGGATTCTTCCAAGCTCAAAACACCACTTTTGACAATTTTGTCAAATTCCTCTTTGTCCTCCTTTTGCGGAACTGATTTCATGGGGAAAAACCTCGCCTTCTCCTCTTTTCTTTTTAGAATTGTTAGCACTTGGATTTGCATGCTCCAAAAAGTGCCCATCCACTTCAAATTCTGTGATCTCTTTCCACCATAGCTTTACATTCTTTGAGAAAAGTAACCATTTATCTTTGACTGTTTCCTTTCCTTCTGCTGACAACCTTTGTGTTCTGCAGCCCTTTTTGATCGCTCTAAGGGGAACTGGCAAATTCTCTGCTGCCTGCATAGGATTGAACAATGCCTTCCTCCAAACCACATGATGTCTCTGCAAAACGCTTCGATACCCGTCAAAAACTCAATAGTCTTTAGTTGGCTCTTCTCTCTTCGCCTTTTTCGTATGTGCCTCCTCGCCTGGCTCTGCTTCAAAGAACACCTCAACCTCATTGAAATAAGGTGTCTCGCCTCGCCTCCTCCAGCCCGCTCGAACTTGGTTTCTCAGGGCTTCATAATCTAAAGGCTGCATTCCATCTAAAATTTCGTTCTGCTCTACCGACCTCATCATCATTTCCTCTTGCACTGGGTCAGGAAGTAGCTCCAATTCTGGTTCTACCTCAGTCGGAGCTGGTCCTGTCGAGGCTGGCTCCTCAACAAGTTCCTCCGGAATTGGAGGTCCTCCTTCTCCCAGTTCACCTTCAGCGACCGGAAGCTCCTCACCGGCAACCGAGAGTAAATAGGATTCATCGACTGCTCCTGCAACTTCTGCAGCTTCCATCCTCGCTCTAAGATGACCTCTTGCTTCACCTTCTGCGGCTACTTCATCGTCTGCATAAACCTCATCCTCCATGTCTGGCATCGACTCTCCCGTGATATCATGGTAGCCAGCTCGATGTGAGCTCCTCTTTAGCCGCTCTTGCATTTCCTCACATTCTTCGTTGATAATCTCCGCACCAAGCTGCTCCATATTGGTTGCTCCTCTTACTTGTTCAGCGGCGGCTCTCCAAAACTCCCCAAACATGTTGATCCAAACAATGGATCCCTCCATCGCCAAAACATGCCCTGGCCCAACCCGTGTTGCTCTACGCCCAAGACCGGCTCCTCTTTGTGGAATGTGTCCTCGTACAGACTTTCTCCTCCACAATGCCCTATAGACATAAACCACCTCACCAGCTTTGAAGGAGTAGTGCCCTCTAGGTCGAGCTTTCAATGCTTTGGCCGCCGCATCTTGACTAACCACCTTCACAAAGGCTTCTTACACAACCCTTCTAATTTCCATAAGTTTTCGAAAATCCTCACAGCTGCCTTGAACTTGTAGCACTGGATCCAAAGCTTCATCACTCATCAAACTGCTGGGCATCCTCGGCCATTGACCTATCTGATGCTGCACTGGACTGAAACCGCTCCTGTTTGAAAATCTGTTCTTGGCACATTCGCACGCATAGAGGATTTGTGCCAAATCTCTGAGATCTTCCGGGGGCATCTCCTCTCTACTCCTTTCAATCATTGATTTGATGAGCCCTCCATGTCGTTCCACTCGCCCGTTTTGCCACGGCGCACGAGCTGCGGTTCTCACCACCACTGTTCCAGCATTTGCGCAAAGCTCAGCAAAACCTGAGCGAAACTCTCTGCCCTCGTCAATGACAATGAATTAAGGAAGACCAACAGTTCTTGCTCATAAACGCCAAAACTAAAACCAAATTTCCTTTGGGTCCTTGTTTCTCAAAAACTCCACCACCTAATAGTTGGTACCCAAGTCAACCACATTGAGAATTAGGATGGACTTCTGATTCAGCAGATCAGGAATGAAAAACAAGTCCAATCCAACTGCAACTCCAGGCGCATAGCTCTTTGGCACCAACGCAGGTCTTGGGGCTTTAGGCAATACTGATGCCTTGCATGTTTCGCACGAGAAATGTTTGCGAACCCATTGAAGAATTTCTGGTCGAATTCTCCCTGCCCTCAAAAAGCGCAGAAAGCTGGCAAGGGCAGGATGTCCAAGATTGATGTGAAGCTTGTTGATCATCGCCTGATCTTCTTTGCTAATTACAGTTGATGTTTGAACCTCAGGCTGCTGTTGACCTCCTCCGCTCTTTTCCACCTCCCGATCAATCTGCTCTTCTATGTCTTCTTCTTCCTCTGCCTCATCTCCAACACCTTGCTTTTCCATCTCATCTTCTCCAAGGAAAACTGCCTGCCTTTCTTCCGGCAGTTGAACTGCCTTCAATCTGTTGGTAGCTCGCAGATGACGTAGAAGACCGCGAACGATCGCTTGGCATAGCTCCTTTGGGTAGATCGCCGCAAACTTGGCTAAACCTCCCATCAGATGCTCATGAACGTGTTCTCCATTGCATCTCCTCTGCAACTCCATAGCCACGTGCTGGGAGTTTGTGATCCAGCGGGTCGCCTTCTTGTTGGGCAGCTCTCTCACTTTCATGCCGTACTGACACAAGTCAGTATTGCAAACATAGACCCCTGGCCTTTGTATCAACCTCTGTGCACATTCTTCTTCCCAAGCTTTTGAAGGCAAAAGATGCTCCAAAAGAAACAGCTTCTCACGCTCATCTTGCCAAACACATACCTCAACTGCAATTTCAAAGTTCTCCATGCCTTCAGCTACCATGTGAACTGACTGAGAAAAAGGCATACGATCCCAATTCAGCCCTTAAATAGGAGAGAAAGGAGTGCATGGAGGAGAACAGGTCACCAGCTCAGGATCATCCTCTTCCAGCTCGTCCCACATCTGACGTTTTTGTGAAGGGTTCAGCAAGTCAAACCCGGTTTGAAGATCATAGCATCTTCCAACCTTCAAACGCTTCTGTGCTGCACTCTCTGAAATTCTAGGTGGGCTGAACACCTCGCTGATTGCAACGGGAAAAACTCCTGAGTCTGCTAAGTGTTTGTGAGCGGCTCGAAGTTTCTTCTTGGTTTTCTTGGGCAAAGCACTCTCTGGCACCTCAGGAACTTCATCTTCGAAAGCTCCTCTCTCTGTTGGTCGAACCCTCAAAACGCAAGAGTCCTCAAAATCAAGCATCTCGTCCGACTCCAAGACATAGCCTTGATTGCCATCTACCGCATAGACCTCCACCACCTCGTAATGCCCAGATCTCCTGAGCTTTTCAACTTTTGTCTTCAGCTTGCCTGGCCCACTCAATTGGACCCACGTGTCCGACTTCGACTGTTGGCTTGCCTCACGGTCTCCTGTAACTTCTCCAACTGTTCTTGCTGTTGAAGGGCCTCGTCCAATCGACGCACCTCCTCCTGTCGCTCCAACCACCTCTCGGCGTAAACGAACATCTCGCCGTCGTGGTATCCCTTCTCCGCCTGGTATTTCTCCTTTCCCAGCCACAGTGCGCCATACTCTGACTTCATCAGCTCCAACACTTCCAAGGAACGACTCTGCTCCTTCAACTTCTGCTCCATCCTCACCAACATCGTCTTTCCATGGGTCTGACAACTTTGCAGCTCCTCTGACTTCTGCTTCAACAGTCGCTCCTTCATCTGCAACTCCTTCTTCAACTCTTCCACCTCCACTGATATCTGAGCTGTTGTGGCTTGGCTCTGGCTCTTCTCTGACTTCGTGGGCTTGCTTTTTGATCTGCCCAAGTTCTTGACTGTCTGTGGTGCCTTCCATCGTGAGTGGCAGTCGGTGCATGACACCCATGCTGCATGTTGGTTCGCTCCGGCCACCAACTTCTCCTTCAGGTGAGGGCACCACTCGGGCTCCAAATTGGGCTTTGTCTAGCTCTTCAACGGTGGAAGACTCTCGGCAGACTTGATGATGTCTGCGAGCTGCTCGCAAGAAGCGCGAGAATAGTCCACATAGGGCTTCTCCGTGACCTCCGGCGACCATGAGTTGACCGATTCCTCGAGCGAGAGGAAATCTTCCACTACGATCAACTTGTCGATGATCACTCGCCAGTGCTTCACTGCCCTCTTCGAATTGAACGCGGCCCTTGGCGACTTGACGCCCATGCTCACATCGCCGGATGCACGGCTCTGGAATCTTCGTCGCAGAGATGCCAAGTGCTCCATGGCCAAGTGCCGCAAAGTTTGAAGCGCACAATGGGGCTACCATAGTACACTGCGCGGTGTTCTTTGGGGCAAAAGTGTTGCGGAAGTCGTCGCAACTGTATCCTGCATGCTCAGCTTCAACTGGACATCTGAATCCACTGTCTCCAAACTGAAAAATCTCAATGGCGACATGTCCACTTGGCAATACAATCAACGGCACTGACTTCTCCATGCCACTGAACTTCAAACATGACTGCTCCAAATCAATCACTGCACGCAACTGTCTCGACATCTTGATCGGCAGCAATAAAGGAATCTCACCCTCGACAACAGTGGCTTCTAAAATTCCTGAACTTCCAGCTATGCCCAAGGGAATTGCTATGATGCCTAATACCTTTGCTTGACCTCCAACACCATGAGCTTTTGCCTGTTTCCCCGTCCACTTGACCTGCAAACCGCAATTTGACAGATGTTCTTTTAGCCTCTCAAGCGCTTTGCTGCCAATCAGGCCGTCTTGCGCAGCTGTGTCAACCACTCCAAGGCATGGTGCCGTGGTCAAACCAACGAAAAACTCACCGAAGTTCTCTGGTGTCTCACTGGCACAGCTCTCTCTCACAGGCGTGCCGTCAAAATGATTGGCCGCTACAAAACAAAAACTAGTGCCCCTCATATCAACTGGTTCCAGTGGGTCCTCATGATCGCACGACCCCACGTCACTTGATGTTGCACTAGCTTCTGCACTACAAACAGTGTAATTACCCCTACACTGAAAACAAAAACATCTAGATAAACTGAAAAACGAGTGGCAGAGTGATCCCGTGGAAACATACCAGCTCTGCTGCGTGGCACCACTTGAAGTCGCTGACGGAGCACTGGATGCCGATGCCCTTCCGGACGAAGCAGCTGCAAATTGCCTACCTTTGCTATCCGGCTCATTTCGACACTCCTTTGCCCAGTGACCAACCAAACCGCAACGCCCGCATTTTGTGCGGAGCTTCAGTTCCTCTATCGAGATCTTCTTCTTGCCCTTCATGAAACTCTTGAACCCAGATGGGCCCCGCTGTGCTGACTTGTAGTACTGCCGATTCTTCTGCTGAGTCTGGATGGCTTTCCTGACTTCTTGGTATGTTGCAAGAGCTACTTGAACTTCTGCTTCGTCCCAAAGCTGATTCGCTTCGGACTCCTCGATGAAAACATACTGGTCGTTGCTCTCATCCAAAAAGTCAAACTCTTCATCTACATCAACGTGCTCATCATCCATGACAAAGGCAGCAGATCCCTTTGCTCGGTCCTTGTGCTCTTGCACGACCTTTTCTAATTTGCGCAAGTTCTTCTGGACAGTTTTCAAGTCATATCGGCCTTCACTCCAAGCCGAAAACTTCAACTCCTGACTTTCAGTCAGTGACGCCTGCCTGTAGACGATGTAGCCAACAGCCGTCTCGTCCATCTTCAAGCCCTCTTTCTCCAACAAGTGAAAGTTTCGCTCTTGCCGGATCAAGTACTCCTGCATGGATTCTCGACTGCTTCGCGGCTGCCCATACACTGCCCGCTCAAAGGCGCGGGGAAGGCTCACTTCCATGTGGGGGGCAAAGTGAGTCTTCAAGGCTGCCATGATGTTGGCTACACCTCGCTCAGTTGCCACCTGCTCAAACTCTAACGTATCGGCCACTGCTCTGGCAACGCCCGTCAGGTTCCTGAGCAAGCGAACTCCTCTTTTCGAAGCGTCAAGCTCCGACTCAAACTCCCATAGCTTCACATTTTTCTCAAACGTGGCCATCATCAGACCTGGGTCTGTTCCATCCCAGCTAGGTGGAGGTGGTTCCTTACCACCACTATAGACGGGCATCGCCCCTTCAGAACCAGGACCTTCCATGGCTCCGCCACCACTGTGAGTGGCACGGACGCAAGCAGGCTTTTCGCATCGGAAACGGGGCCCAGCTGGACCTAAGGTAGTTGGGCCTAAAGGCCTCCATGTCAGAACACCTGCACAGATCGCTGAAACAATTGCACATGCATGTTTGGCCAAGTGCTGCTGATTGGAAGCTGAATTCACAATATTTAATAAATACATATTACATATTAATATTATTTATTTATTTATTTAATTAATTTCAAATTTTTTAAAAAAAGGAATTATATATAAAGTATCATTAAAATATTTAATTTCAAATTAAAATAATATATTCTTATTAAGGCATACATATAACCCGAAACATATAACTTCCCTTTCACCTACTACTACTACTACTACCACTACTACTACTTCTCCTCCTCCCACTCCTACTCCTACGCCTACTCCGACGCCTCTACTCCTCTCCTCCTTCCTCCCTTCTTCCCCAAGCGCTACAATGGTAGTGCCGGTAGCTAATGGCATTGCCTACAGGATTACCGTCGTCTACAGGTACACGTCACAGGACGCACACGGTACTGATCGACCAGTGCTCATTTAGTATGCGTTCCATTGGTTGTTCAAGCATGCACTTGCTACTCAAGCTGCTTCTGATCTACGGCTCTGTCTTCGTCTCTTCTTCTCTCAGGCTTCCACCTAGCGTGCACATCAACCTCCCTTGGGGCAATCTCTCTCCCCTGTCTCCTTCCATGCAGCGTTCTGCTGTCAAGCCAGAGGCTCATACACAGTACCTGGCGCTACTTTGCTGGGGGCGGTACTAATTTGGTATAATTACGGTCAATAGGTTGTTACAGCAAAACTTGCTACACACGCCGCTTCCGTTTTACGGCTTTGTCTTCGTCTTCTTTTCTTATTCTTCTTATTCTTCTTCTTCTCCTTCTTTTCTTTTCTGCTCTCTTGCGGGCTTCCACCTAGATCAAAACTCACATCAAAACTCCCTTGGGGCCACCTCTCTATGGCCGGCAGGCTTGCCGGAGGCAATTAAATATATGGCACATGGTGAGAAAATCATGATGCGAGACAGGCGAAAACCAAGAAAAGACATCCAAAGAGCCGGACACCACTAGCCAGGCAGGGAAACAATGGAGAGCCAGGCAGCAGCACTAGGCAGGCTGCAAGACAGATGAGAGGAGACAAGTAAAAAAAAACAATCCAGAGAGCTGGGCAGCCCAAGGCATGCTGGCAAATAATGAAGGCAGACCATTAAAAGATATATCCGAAAAGCCGGACACCACCAGCCAAACAAGGCAACACATAAATTAAGAGACATCCCAATAAGCTGACACCATGAGCCAAATTGGGAAACAAATGCATGGCGACAACTGAACACAAACATCCGGATAGCCAGACACCACCAGCTAGACTGGGAGACAAATGGAAGAGTTGGACATCAGGAGCCAAACTGGGAGACAAATAATTTGAAAAGGGTGCGGAGTTACTTTTTTTTTTGTTGGCATCTTTTTATTTTTTGGGTTGACCTTCTTGTTTTTTCTTTGCTTTTCCAGCGGTTTTCATCAACTTTCCATTGTTTTCGGTGGTCTTCCAACGTTGTTCATCAATTTCCATAGTTTTCAATAACTCGATGGTCCTTCTTGCTTTTTTAAAATCGATCCAAGCAATCGAGAAAAACAACACTGGGGTGCAAGTACAATAAGAACAAGAACAAGAACAAGATCACAAGCAACAGCAACATTTGAAAAGCATCCGGATAACGGGACATCACCAGCCAGATTAGGAGACAAATGGAAGAGCCGGACACCATGAGCCAGACTTGGAACCACATGAAGGGAGGCAAGTGAAGGCAAACACTCGGAGAGCCTCACAGCACCAGCCTGACTGGGAGACAAAGGAATTGGGAGATATTGGGAACACCATCAGCCAGACCGGGCGACAATTGAAGACCAGTGAGAACAGGGAGACAAAATAAATAAAGACAATTGAAGACAAACATTCAAAGAGCCGGTGTCACCTGATTCTTATTTGGAAATCTCTCAAGTTTTCTCAAAACATCTTTGCTATGACAATCATGTAGTTGTTCCAATTGCTCTAAAGATAGCATTGCCATGCAATACCCTTCTATATTCTAATCTCACATATGATTCATATGATCAAATCAAAGTATGTATGAATACAATATATGACTCTAGCGCGTTTTAGTTTTAATATTTTTTGAATATGTCATGAGACAATGCTTCTTGAGGCTGATGGCCCTGATCGGACGAACTTGTAGTTGCTGGACGCTTGAATCATTGAAGATGCTGGAAGGCAGCTTTCGGAAAAGCAGGATGTGCCCATATGCGCCCTATGATGTCCTGTCTATTGTTTAGTGTGAGGTGCAAATGAAGGAAAATGAAGGCAAACCAAAACTACTGACCACTCTTCAGAAAGTCCAATCTCCAAACCCATCAAGCCCTGCCTCTGCGGTCAAAGCAACGGCCTCTCGAGACAGAGCCATCACATCAAGCCTGAGTTTTGGATAGTTTTGGAAGGTATCCAAAGCGAAGCTAGTGCCGGTACAAATGGCTACAAGCTAAGGCTGCTAAGGCTGCTAAGGCTGCTAAGATCGCAAAAGATAGGGAACGTATTAAAAAAAGGTGCCCGAAGGGCAACATCCGCTGATAGAGCCACAGATGAATACGTCTATCTCTCTGTGAAAATGTCAAATGAATAGACAGTGGGAAAACAATTAAGAAGAATTTATTAGACTTGATAATGGAAAACTCGTCCAGGTAGAGTACATCACAAGACTTGACTTGCTCACTTTGTCTGCAAGTCGCTCGAGAATATGCCTCTGCGGTTCTGAGTTTGCTCTTCTCATGCTATGCAGCTCTTGGTGCATCCACAGGGAGAATTCGTGCAAGTGCTGGCGCTGTGCTCGCCAACCCTTCAAATAGAGGATGCTAAGGCTTGAGCATGTCAATAGCGCGGTGCCTACTTTCCTCTTGAAGCCTGTTCAACCTCACATGCTCAAAGGGATGGGCAAAATGAAGCCATGTCATGTTCCTAGACTGCCAAGATTGGCAAGCATACCACAAGTTCTGCACCATCAACTTGGCTAAGTCCATCGCTCGCGAAGCATGAAACTGCGCTCATCCTCGCTACAGCTGGCATTCTCGCAGTGGAACAAAATCGAGCAATTTGCACGATTAGACCATGCACCGTTGTGCATTGCATTTCTCTCCTCCAACGCATGCTCATCCTGGCGGCACACTCCACGATGAAAAGAGATAGGACTGACACATCGTGGAAGCAGAATAGCAGCACAAAAAAAAGGCAGCCTGTGCACAAGCGCGGTGCCAGGCATTTAGCACCTGGGCAAACGAACCGAAGAACAAGGAACAAATCGTTCTCATTCAACACCAGCTGCTGAAATGGTTCTGGCCTGTCTCAAGGCCACCAACTGTGAAGTCCTGACACATGAAACTAATTCGACGCAAGGGCCCGCAAGGGCCCGATGTGGAGTTCTTGCAGATTGCAGTGTGCGCATTTAGACACCTTGACAGGCCGCTGCTGGATGACTCCGACGTGGCCTCGCAGAGTGTGGGAAGAGGGTAGTCGTTTTGTTTTTGGGACTTTCTCAGTGCGACAAAATCAAGCAGTGCGCCTCCACATAGCATGGCTCTTGGCCTTCCATGCTGCCAAGGTGCTGTTCCTGCCAGAATCCAGATACACAATCTCAACACACGTTCTATCTGCACTCTGGTCGCCAAAAAATGAAAACTACTTAACTACCTACAACATCTCACTGCTTGTATCTGAACAGCAGAACTCGGACTTGGAATGGGAAGGAAGGCTCATCTTCCAATGTCAGAAAGCCTTCAAGAAGAGGACTGAAATCTAGGTACAGGTCTGTACTGTACAGGTACTACATAGTGTGAAATCTGTTGCAACACCTCATCTGACCCCTTTACCGCCGTGGTCTCAGAAGATCAACAATCATTCAACGATCTCCGATGAAGGTTCGCTGCAGTATGCTGCCAATTCAGCCCGCAATCCTGTGAAGATTGCAACGCAGCAACCTTGTATAAATGTTTGCGCAGGAAACAGCACACAACTCCCACTGCCACTACGAAATCTACAAGGCAAGTCACGGTCACTGGAAGTCTGAGCGACAGACTCGCCAGCAAAGAAACAAGCAGCGCAAAGATGCTTCCAATTGTTCTGCCTGATCAAAGCGATTCCGAGATGTTTGGGGAACCTCGTCACCCGCCCCCGTGGTGGCAAGTTTGTTAAAGGAAGCAACGAGCTAATATGAGCTAATTACCCGTATATGTAATCCTGCACAGCATCCAGCTCTCACTCAAATCTTCTGGAGTCTATTGGCCTGCTGAGCGCTCTTTACGCGAAAAATATGCGATGATGCGGATTCCAGCCGCTGCTGCAGCCTCAAGCAAACATGCCGCGGACTCAATGAGAAAAAACAAACCGCAAGACCCGCAAATGGGTTCGACCATGTACAGCACATCCTGAAAAATGCTTATTGCCAGGCTTTGCCATCTACAGTACAATGGATTACACAGGCCCTGGCAAGCGCAAATCCGATGCATAGGCGGACACCTGGGCACTGAAAGAAACCACCCGCAAGGCCATGCGGTGAGCTTCGCATAAGGCCAGCGCCAGAACAGCCATATGCCAAGCAAAAAGCATAGCTCTCTGGAGCTGCACATCCTAAAGGATCATGGTGGAACGATGGCATGAATTAACTCGGCAAAACTGTTAGTTGTTGGAAAGTTAAACCTACCAGGGACCGTTGAAGAGAAATGTCTTGACTTGTGATGAAGCAATAGAACAAGAGTCTCTTGGAAACCAAGAGGAAGTAGAAACATGCGCACACGTGCACACAAGACCACCTCACAACAAATCACAATGATCTATTACCGAGAAAGGATGACTTGTGCACTGTGCACGTAGTCCTCTCTGAGCCATGATGATTTCAGCGGCAACATTGGCAACGTGCTAGTACACTGTGCCAGCTTTGCTGGCAAAGCTTCGACCTCACAAACTTGACGACGGGCTTGACATAGACATACCACACTCTTGTGGGCCTGACTTCAACATGTTTCTTAACAAATTCATGTTTCACTATATTGATTATTCAATTGATATCCCCCGTGAATGTGCCCTAGACTGTGGCTGACTGCATTCTATAAAAAATCTGGTTTATAGAATGATTCTGAGGGTGTTTTTGTTTATAGAATGAATCTGAGGCATATTTATGGAATGGTCCGGCAAGTTTAAGGATCTGAGATTTCGATGGATAAAAAACACAAAAAGTAGTTTTATAGAATGAGTTGACTAGTTACAAGTAAAAAAAACATTGTTTTTATAGAATGCATCAGCCTAGTGTCAACAAGTAACAAAAATCAAGCACTTTCCATTTATAGAATGCCTAGATTTGGATGATGATATCCCAAAAATATAGATTTCAAATGATGTCAAATGATCTGACCAATTTAAGCTATTTATTGGGCCGTACCTTATTTTCAATAATTCAAAAAGGAAATTAAGTGAGGTTGTGAAAAAAAGAAAATAGTCTGACGTCGTTTTCCAGGTTGAGGTTGTTGAACGCGCTTTGCCTGTATGTATGTGTATATATATATAATAATGTGTCCAAGTACTACGTACATAAATCCATCCGTCAGTATCATGATCACATCACTCTCTTTCCAACATCCTTTTCATCTCTCCCATCTCACCACATGTGGAGGTACCTGTCTTCGCAGGTGGTAGCGGTTTTGGATGTTGAGGATTCCAGCATGGAGCAAGGGCACATTGTGATGACAGAGCGATCTGTGGGTGCATTCCACCATTTGAAAGGATAAGGGGAGTGTGAAGAAGACAAGGCAGATGGTGAGAAGAGCCAGAAGAAGAAACCCAAGAAAGGCAAGGGAACAGGCTTCAAGGCGGCGCATCGCTGACTACGCGGCACTGCTTTGAGATGTATGAAAAAACACCAGAATCCAGGTGAAGCTTCTGATCTGATGGAAACTTGGTGATTTGCCAACAGGGACAGATGTTTATAGAATGCATGGTGGTGGTGAATGTCATGAAAAAAACAAGGGAAAAGAGGTTTAATGTTGCAGAGTTCATTTTATAAACCTACGTATGGTAGTAAGACGGTTGGAGACTGTTGTACAAGCGTTCGTTGAGATACAGCAAACCATGTGTTTATGGAATGGTTTTGAAGTGTAGTGGCCGTATGTTTGGCATTAGTTTGAACAATGCTATCATCTCAATTCATTTCATAAACGCTTGTTTTTTTTTCCATTCCACGGACCACCTGATATTCATTTGGTGATTATGGAATGAGCATTGGTTTGACCAAATCCAATATTGGCATTTTAACCTGCAACATTCATTGCATAAACCCGCAAATTCATTGGTTGGCCTGCCTCAGGAGCAGGTGTATCCAGAGCACATCCCCAGGAATGACAAAGGACGACAAGCCATTCGCACAGTGGTGCAGAAAGCTTGTGACTTGGATCGGATGGTCTTTTCCACTGTGCCATTTTTGATCCAGCGACCAATGAATATACAGTGCCAGGCAAGGTAAAGCTGACAACGCAGGAATTTGTGCATCAGGCCCCCATTTACTTCCAATTTGCGCACTTTTCACAATGCCGAAGCTTACAGCAAGAGGTCCATTCAGATCTGTCCAGGGCTCGACAAGAGACACCCTGCGGAAAAGAATTTCAGCAGAAGGAAAGCCAGCAGGACATGTCGGTTTATAGAATGCTATTGTAAATGCGTGTTTGGTCCAAACATTTCGAAACAAGTCTGTTACTTGAATCGAACATGACACTCCATGAGATTTATGGAATGCATCTACCAGGATGCTTAACTTCCATTTAACATCCATTTATTGAAGCATTTTGGTTTTTATGGAATGAGTTGAAGGGTTGCAAAACCTTGTTTTTATAGAATGAGTAGGGAAGGTTCATGTACTTGCTTGTTCCAGCCGGTCCGATCGATTCCCCCCAAATCTGGGTTTATAGAATGATACCCAAAACTGCATTCCATAAACGACCACAAACTCATTCTATAAAGGTACATTGGCGGGGGATCAATTGATTACAGTATTCAGTTTTTATTTTTGTGTTTTGCTGGCTGCATCATAGTGTCACAAAATCTTAGAGGCAGGGTTGCTAAAATTGAAAATAAATGAACGCAATTCCAATTAGCCAGTGAGAATGCGCTGAAACAGAGCTCAAGGAACTTCCAAAATTCTGAATATCCTGAAATCATTGCCAATCACTACGTACATGAGTCCAAGCTGGGTCAGTGACAAGCACAGCTTTATGCCAAGCAAGAAGCATGGCTCGCTGGAATTGACGGTCCTGCAAACATCAAAGGTGTTGGATGACAGGGCTGAACCATAGGTCTTCCTAGGATTTCCTAGGTACCAGGTATCGGTGTATGTCGGTGTAGGTCAGGGAAATGGAAGGCTGGCAGAATCTGATCAAACAACAGCACACACATCCACACACCATCAACAGGGGTTTGCAATGGCGAATCCTCTCTGAACCAGGACGCTTTGAGGGTGCACAATGGCAAGCTGCACGTGCCATGCCGTGCCAGGGTCGCAGGCAATCCCTCCACCTGTGGAGGTGATATGGATCCATGGATTCATCATGGCCGTGAAAACATTGGTGCTGCCTGGGCTGTTCAGTAAAATCAGTACAGGTATTGTGTTCCTGAATGGGGGCGAGATGTAGCCCAAAGTCAATATCAATCATTATCAATCAATAGAGACATGATGAGAACTGACCTACCTGGATCATCCTGGATCAACCTGGCCTGTCCAACCCAGGCGTCCCAAGCTCGCTGCAGTAGCAAGGCGTAGCCTTGCCTCGGAATGCGACGAAACCATCGGTGACGAGGTCTGAGATATCGCCCATCTGTCAATCCAGACCTCCTGAGACCTCCTTCAGCCTAGACACAGTAAACCTGGTAAAACTATGCATTACTCTTCATCCACCATCTCCAGATATCTATCTATCTATCTGTCTGTCTGTCTATCTATCTATCTGTCTATCTATATGTATATCATTATATTTTTTATCTATATAGAGAACACACACACATATATATAATATAAATACACAATTATACACATGTATATCACCTGTATATTCGAGTATATTCTATATAAAATATTCTAAAATTATATAAATCGCCTTGCTGCACTGCTGAGCTTTCTGCTTCAGCGCAGCAGAGGTGCACGCAACAGCGATCTCCATTCCATCCCGCAACTGTCGACGAAGAATCTGCAAGTCAAAGGAAGATGACTCTGTATGGTGTCATCCAAGAATGGAGGTTCTGACAAATGCTCTTCAGTTCTATGGTATTCTATGATATTCTATGCCATTCTATGCAAGTACTTTTGTGCAATGTGGCTGGGCCAAATGAAACAGTCAGTAGTTGGAAAGCTGCATGAACTGGACAAAACATTTTCTTGGGCCTTTGTAAGAACCATGGCTTGCCTGGTTGTCGCTACCCAGCTTCCATGCTGCCAAGAAGATTCGCAAGTCAGGCTTGCTCTGCGCCTTGTCAAACCACACTTTGCAAGAATCTGCAGGAAACAACAATACTAATTGAGAGGTGATCCAACGCTTCTTGAGAGTCATGAGTCATGTCGTGACATTTTGTTTGGTTGCGTTGCACATCTATGGACAATCAATGCGAGCACCCACAAGCATTGATAACAAGCTCTGCTCAGTGACCTGTGCTTGTGCCCATGGTGCCTCTAGGAAGTGAACAGCATTCAGTTGTTGTGCCATGGCCTTTCACGGACGGCGCGACAAGGTGTGCCCAGAGAAACAGCAAACTGCAATAAACGTCCTGTCTTTGCATCACAAAAGACGAACAGGGGCAAACAATGCCACCATCTCGAAACACTTCAGCAGATTCTGACAGCCTTCCACACAAAGAAGTAAGACTTCTTTCGCAGCTTTGTGGAAGCGAAATCCGTCGCCTCAGAACATCAAACATCATAAACAAATCATAACAATCTCAACAAACACAATGTATCACAATGCAATAGTCTGAAGATCTGCATAGCATTGCATGATGCATGGCGGATGTTGGCACACTGGCATTGGTGCAAAGCCCCTTGCCACATGCATCGTGGACTTAAAGACCAAACACTTCCAGGACGTCAGAGTCAGTCGTGCCTGTGATTGTGGGCGGGAGGCATCCTGTCCCCTAATTACTCGTCAGGGTTGTTGTTTTTTTTTTAAATAGGAGGTGACCACCCATGTTGGTTCATAGAGGGGTACCAACCCGAAGTAGTATTGCCAACAATTTTTGGGGCCGTGGGTGTTGATTATATAATTCCTTTCTTGAAACAAATATGAACTTCACATTATTTTGCGTCATCCACACATAGGGGTTTCATGAGTTTCATGCAAATTGTCATCGATCTGAGCTCTTGGCCATGTAGTGCAAGGGGTCACCTCCTGAAGACTTTCCGAAGATCTTGGGAACACGTGGAAACCACAAAGGAAGACTTACTGACCTATATTGCGCAGAATAAGTCAGAGAAGCGAAACACCTCTCAAACATATTACGCTAGCAACGCACAACGCTTCGGACATTTTTCTTACTGTCTATTATTTCCTATCTGTTTTTGAAGGGATCCCATGCTCAGAATGGCTGCTGTACAAGCATGTCTGCAACATGTCTGCCATTGCATCGCAAACATATAAATGTGATCCCACTTCCGCCTTCAAAAGCAAGAAACTTGAAGTGATCTGACCTCAAATGCCAAATGAACAATTGATGATGCTCCGTGTGCGCTACAGGCTCTATATGGCTCTATTGTTCTGGAACCTTTGTCGAAGTTTAAAATGTTTAAAGAGCGGAGGCTGGCATCTGAGCAGTGAACCCAGGTTCGAGGAGGAATGATGCTGCCTTCACAAAGACATCCCCATCCGAATTCATCCGATGTTTCCTCCCTTATTGAATAAAAAATGAATGCCTACTTTGACTTCCAAAAGTTTGCCAACCCAAAGCCTTACTGGCCAAGCTTACTTTGCAGAATGTCCCTCCCAGCAAGCGAAGACTCGCTCATGCTTCGCTGTGGCCTTGCAAGCTCCTTGCCTGTATGCTGCAGCCCTCCCAACCTGCAACCAGTGCATAAATTGGCCTGTGAAGTCTCAGGAGTTGTTGACCAACATTGGCCGACATCACGTGGCTCTGGGCCATGGAGACTCAGCTCCCAACGAGTTTGGTCCAACCACCCCGAATGGTGGATCGACTTTTGATAAGGCTGTCTTATATTGATACTATATGATACTATACTACGGTAACATCGGTAACTATACTCGTCCCATCTCATCCCAACCCCCCATGAAGCCTTGGGATCCTGCACTGTCTCTGCACCCTCACGTGCATGGCGCCAGCGGGTGAAGCAAACCAGGGACATGGCAATATGGCGGCCTCACCGATGCGCACAGATCGCACAGGGCCCGAAGATGCAACGGAAGCTGGACCATTGAAGGTGAGCAATATTATGTAATATTAACATACCCAAGATATCCCAAGATCTTACAGGACTGGTGCAACAAAAATCATTTCCGTGGGAATTGGTATACTTTTTTGGACTTTATTGTATCTAAGTGCTCAACCACCAAACTCTTGCACCTGTTGACGAACATCTGAGACCATCACTGCGAATCACTGCTGCAAATGCGCTGCCAACAGTGCGATCCTTTCAAGGCTGACGCTACGCCGCTACTCTCAAGAAATGCAGGGTTTCCAATGCACCAAGCATGGCTGCACTACGCATCTGGGGTGCGAACATACAGCACTCCCTGCCGGTGTGCGAAGCCTGAACTGAGTCTTGAAGCCAGCTGGTTGAGCAAATTTGAGCCACGCATCGCCACTGTAGAAACAGCTGGGTTGCTTCACAAAAAATCTCAACATGTAGGAAGTGACATGGGAAGGATCGCATCAAGCGACTCAATCTCAGTGCCAACCAGGACACGCCAGGCGAGGAACAAATCGCTCACGGTGGCCCTTCCCAGCACATTGATCCAATGCTCACTGATTCTAAGCCTGCATTGCTGTGATTGGATGTGTCATGAACACCACTTCCATCTGAAAATAAAACCGGGCATTGAGTGAGATCTCTAGGGCATATTTGCGAAAGGCCTCCGGCCTATACAGGCATCCACATCACGGTCAAAATAAATATGTCAAAATATCGGGGTGCCAATTCAGTATGTGATATATAATGTGCGGCAGTTTTAGAGCGGTCCAGCTTTTGTGGATAGGGCCTCAGGCTTTAAAATGCACAAAAACAATGAGAACTGGTTCTTCTATAAAATGCGTTTCCAGCAAATTCACGCCAAATTGGCATCCAAGTTCATCCAAATTCGAAGACCCTCAGAAACGCCTCTTTAAAAAGGGGTCAGGAAATTCTTTTTAGATAGAGGTATTTTAGAGTGAAGGTGCCCAAATATTAAGTGTGTTTTGCTTCTTTTATAGCATTCTATAGCAACAAGTCAGCAGTTCGTAGCAATCCAAGTTCGTCAGCAATTCCAAGTCAGCAGTTCGTATAAACGGCTGCAGTGCCAAGAGAGGTCTCTCGCTGATCTAAAATGACATGCCCAATAAAATCGATATAAAGAGATCCTGGAAAAGCACTTGTTCCATTCTGCAATAAAATGCTCCAAACACTCAATTTTTTGCAAAAAAAATAGAATGGAATTTTAAGATGTTAAAAAACATCAGGATTTCCCTGGCAAATAAAAAATGCTCAGACCAACCCCATAATGATAAAATGACTAACCTGACTCCAATTTTGAAATTCCAATACAGTACGGATCTCGCTTAGACTATGCACAAGTCATCCATTTCTAGTGTGGAAATTGCCACGGGGATGTCAAAATAGCTTCCCTGATCCCTGCCTGCCCAATCGCACATCTTGTGACGCAACGGCCTTCACCTGCTCGGAAGCAGTGATGAGATGTGGACAAACAAGGCCGCAACGCTCCATTGCCTTTGGAAAACATCTGCCAGCACATGCCAGCACTTGGAAGGAAATAGGATGTAGTATGAGTATGTATGAGTCAGTATGAGTCAATTTCACAAGTTAACAACAGTATACAGTAAATATAAGTCACCTACACTCATACCGATACCTCATAAAAAATCTCAACTGTTTGAGCAGTCTGCATCAAACGAGTTGCGCCTTGGCGACGTTGGTGGCTTCGCGCCATCCCAGAAAAACGTGCCTGGCCACATGGGGACAGACAAGTGACTTGGAGAGTGGCACTTGGAGGCTTTCAAGGAGATCATCTCAGAATAGATTTGTGTAGTTTATCATAGTTTATCTACGTATGTTTATGTCATTTATGTCATTTATGTCATTTATGTCATTTATGTCATTTTGTCATTCACGGTTTCTCTTGACTAAGCTGCTTGCCCCATGATTTCGCTGCCAAGGGCGCTGGCCAACAAAGATGTGGCCTGTCCAGGGTGCCACCACTGGCACTTTATAGGGCTACCAGGTGTAGCAGTCCCTTTGATCAAACCATTAAATGTTCATGAATTGATCATCAATTAACATCTATAAAGAACGGGCCAACATAAATCTAACTGAAGTGAAATTGAAACTGGCTGATGCTCTGACTTGAGAATCACCAGGAAAGTGAGTTGAAGTGGACAAGCCTTTGCGCTTCTCTGTGACAACCGTAGTTTGGCATCTGCATGCATGGCCCATCGACACCTCATGTCTGACTTTTCCAGGAACAAAGACTCCAAAATCAAGCGGTTGATCACCATTTTCCGCCATTTTTCCCAGAAGCACTGCCATAAATTGCGATATACCGTATACCGTATACCATATTTTCGGACTAGCCGAAGTGAACATTGCGCCAAATTCCCCTGCGCCAAGCCCCCACACCAAACCAACCGGAGAAAACCGTGGTCCACACCTGAAAGAGGTGGCTCTTGCTGGTTGATGTTGGTTGAGCTGAAATATGCTGAAAGCTGAAACTGGCCACTCTGCCCTCTGAGGCCAGGGCTGTCCAAAAGTGCTGCCATGGAATGATAGAATCCCAGCAACGCCTCAGATATCCACCCTATCCAACGAGCTTTTCAACAGGACAATGACGCCATGCCTTGTTGTCACCATGGTGAACATTTGTCATCCAACCATTTCAGCCAGAGGCGAACCCATGTGTATTCCAAGATCCAACGTCTCGGATCCTTCTTGTTCACATGTTGTGGATCAATGTGGATCATAGCCATCCAGAAATTAGATGAAATTAGACCTCCCATCCCAAGACCACATGAAAAAGGGGGCTTCCTCTGGAGCTGGGTTGACCCACACAAGATGCCCGGCGACTCGCAAGCAGCTCAGTAGATAACATCCGCCAAGCCTCCAGTGGCTTCAGAACAGGAATGACCGAGAATGGAAACCCTGTCCTTACGCGGTCACAGAACATTTTCGATTCACGAAACCCTTCATCATACCAGCATATACCAGCTGCAAGCTTGCTGATTCTCTTGATTCTTCAAGAAACATATTCTGGATGAGCAAACGTTGGTGGATAAGTACAAGAGTTGCTCGCCGCACCCTACGATGCTGTACACCACGCCCAAGCCTGTGGTACCCTGCATAGCCATCAAGGCACCCAACTGATGGTTGCTCACGCAACATTGCCTGGGGCTCAGGCAGAGAACGCTGCCGCCAGCAATGCTCCTTTCCTTTTGGCCTGTCGCAGGCAACCCTTCCTTTCAGTCATTTGCTGGTGCACTCTTTTTGAGTTTGTTCAACTTTTCCTTACACCACCTCCCCCCCAAAAATGTTTAGTGTTGTGAATTGTATTTGAATTACTGTATGCTATGACAACACTGGCATATACAGATACAACACTTTTGCATCTGGCTCTGAGCCTGTCTCGCCACGGGTTGGCTGTACTGAGCACCGACGCTAGCTTCGTGGGTCATTACCATCCATTCGCTGAACACATCGGCGAGAAACTTGGCGAATGAAAGCCCACAGAAAAACATGTCTGAGAGATATGCAGCTGAGAATTAGAAACAACATGAAACAACATGCATACACAAAAACAGGCGTATCAAACCTGTTTGCACCATCGCTAAGACATCAACTTCTGAGCAAAGCTTCTGGTATTTGGCATCAGCTGCTGCCTCGTCAACGTTCACAAGCTGCAAACCAGTCACATGAGCGAAATGCATCCAAATCCATCCAAATGCCATGTCTGCATCGCAGTGGGTTTTGTGTGGGCGTCTTTGTGGAAAATGGGCAAGGGCATGAAAACGCCACAGCGATCCACAGATATCCACAGCAAACACCAAGTACACGTCTCATTACCCTCTTGACTTTTTCTACATTATCATATGCTGCTTCGGATGCCTGGTTCACTTTGCGCAGGAAACCAGATGCAGAGCAAACTAGCTTCCATCCCTGAAGCACGAGACATCTTGAGAAGTGAAATGCTCATGATGTGTCGTGTTTGCATTGCAAAGACTGGAAATCCGTTTAAATACATGCCTATCATCTGAGGCCCTCTCGGAAAACACCGCGGCCAGGGACAGCTGCTCAATCTCAGCCTGCAACGTGATTCCAGTGTGCACAGTTTCCTGCAAAGCTTTGCGCCTTTTTGATCCTTGATCCTTTCCGACACTTTTTAATGTCTTGGGGCCGTGCGGTCTAAATCTTTTTGACATCCTTCCTGAAAATTGAATTGAAGGCCCACAATCCGTCCGTTTTGACCCTTCTTGATCTTGCTGGTTTCCAATGGTTTCCATCTTTTTTGTATCATCCTGTGACATTGACTGAAACCCAACAGCCCACCAGAACGGAACATGTTCCAACAAAAGACCATAGACAAGGAATCCACCCCTTAAAGTCGGCGCATGTCGGCGCGCTGTTGATGGTGAAATAATGCTCCCGCTATGGTCTCGTTCATTTCTTTTAATTGTCAACATCTTGTTCGCAAAAACCAAGTTTGTCCTCAGTCAACCAGTCTCTTTGATCTTTTCGCGTTTCTTGAGCTCTGCGAAATGGTCAACATTTTCCACCGCGAACTCGCCTTCTGAGTGCCTGTCGCTCCTGAACCTTTGTTTTTGGTTTCTTCTAGAATTTTCTCGTCAACTAATAAGCTGCGTGCCTCACACCAAAGCACATTAGTTATTAGTTTCTACACCGTCCCCCAGCGCTCCCGTAGAATCCACGTAGCATGCGTGACGTGTAAAAGTGCAAGTGAACGATATTACATCCCCCCACCCCCTGCCCACCAACCCACCCTACATGTATGAGATATGTCAAAAAGCAGAGCTGCTGAAACACCTTGATGAAGACCTGACAGGGCAGACAAACATGGCATATGACGACAACACGCAAAAAACAGCAACAGTCCGCGACGCCCTCAGGGGGTGGTGCCCACAAACAACCTGACCATGCACATACATACCTGCATCTTCCAAGGTACTTCTTTTTTAATTTATCAGTTCAGCCAAAAACCTACCTTTTTATGTGCTGGCGGTGTTTTTTGTTGCATTCGACGTTTTTCCAAAATGTGTGCTCCATAAATGTTTCTGGAAAGTTCTTGCCCACATGGAAGCATCAAAGAACCTCATTTCTTTAGCACATTGAAGAGGATCCAGAACATGAAATTCAATTGCTCTAGCAGTAGCAGCTCAGCACGCTTCACTCACTTCTTGTAATTGTGTACTTTCGCCTTTTGCTCTCCAAACAAAAAAACATGCGAAATCAACAGAACATGTACCTTTGAAGTAAGGCTGGTAAAATGTCCAAAGCAACAACATGTTTGAGAGCATTCTGAGAAATACTTGGAACGAAAGTGTGATTCAGTTGCTCCCTGCCGGGTTCGGAACGAAATGGCGTAAATTGCCTGCCAAAACGGCGTAAATTGCTGCCAAAACGGCGTAAATCGAAACAAGGAAACTTCCAGTCATTCAAGTGAGTTATGTCAAGGGTCCATTTATGTCAATGACAATCACTGTATGCATAATGTCGTGGGTGCACACTGAGCAGGTTGTTCAAAAAATCAGTTCCCAAGAATGATTTCTGTGAGCGTTTAGAATGTTGCATGCTGAAAGCAGGATTGTTTTGAACCCCATTTGAGCGCAGCAATAATGCTTCACACTCTTTAGACATCTTTAGACCAACTTGTTGGAAATCAAGAATAACGTTTTGGTCAACCTGGATTGGACGATGTGGGGATCGAAGCTGGGATAGTATAGAAAACACTGAAAAGGCCTTTTTTTTTGTAAACAGAGATTTTTTTTTTGAGCAATCGAGTTAAATTTTAGATTGACGAAACGGATAACATTTTACATGGGTGGAGGATGTAGGTATAAACAGGCTTGGTATGATTTTGTTTTCGAATGACCATTGAAGTATTGAAGTATTGAAGTACAGTTACTATTGCGATCTATTGCGCAATTCAATACGTGACACCCAAGTACCACACTCTGCACTTCAAAAAACAACAAGAACCAATTGGCACTTGGCGCCTGCTTTGCAATTTGTTGAGTGCTCACGGCGGCAGCTGCGGACTCTTTGGTTGTTTCGGCCCACATGTTGAACACTGTGGACAAGGTCTTAGCATTTTTTTGCAAAAAGGTGCCCCAAAAAACTTGCAAAGAATATCTGATAAACCCTGCAGGTTTCCAACTTGTGTGCATACAACCAAAAAGGTTCGAATCCTGTTTGCACCATCTCTAAGACATCAACTTCTGAGCAAAGCTTCTGGTATTTGGCATCAGCTGCTGCCTCGTCAACGTTCACAAGCTGCAAACCAGTCACATGAGCGAAATGCATCCAAATCCATCCAAATGCCATGTCTGCATCGCAGTGGGTTTTGTGTGGGCGTCTTTGTGGAAAATGGGCAAGGGCATGAAAACGCCACAGCGATCCACAGATATCCACAGCAAACACCAAGTACACGTCTCATTACCCTCTTGACTTTTTCTACATTATCATATGCTGCTTCGGATGCCTGGTTCACTTTGCGCAGGAAACCAGATGCAAAGCAAACTAGCTTCCATCCCTGAAGCACGAGACATCTTGAGAAGTGAAATGCTCATGATGTGTCGTGTTTGCATTGCAAAGACTGGAAATCCGTTTAAATACATGCCTATCATCTGAGGCCCTCTCGGAAAACACCGCGGCCAGGGACAGCTGCTCAATCTCAGCCTGCAACGTGATTCCAGTGTACACAGTTTCCTGCAAAGCTTTGCTCTTTTTTGATCCTTACTGATCCTTCATCCTTTCTGACAAATTTCGGTGTCTTGGGGCCTTGGGCCCTTGGGGTCTCAATCTTTTTGACATCCTTCCTGAAAATTGAATTGAAGGCCCACAATCCGTCTGTTTTGACCCTTGTTGATCTTGCTGGTTTCCAATGGTTTCCATCTTTTTTGTATCATCCTGTGACATTGACTGAAACCCAACAGCCCACCAGAACGGAACATGTTCCAACAAAAGACCATAGACAAGGAATCCACCCCTTAAAGTCGGCGCATGTCGGCGCGCTGTTGATGGTGAAATAATGCTCCCGCTATGGTCTCGTTCATTTCTTTTAATTGTCAACATCTTGTTCGCAAAAACCAAGTTTGTCCTCAGTCAACCAGTCTCTTTGATCTTTTCGCGTTTCTTGAGCTCTGCGAAATGGTCAACATTTTCCACCGCGAACTCGCCTTCTGAGTGCCTGTCGCTCCTGAACCTTTGTTTTTGGTTTCTTCTAGAATTTTCTCGTCAACTAATAAGCTGCGTGCCTCACACCAAAGCACATTAGTTATTAGTTTCTACACCGTCCCCCAGCGCTCCCGTAGAATCCACGTAGCATGCGTGACGTGTAAAAGTGCAAGTGAACGATATTACATCCCCCCACCCCCTGCCCACCAACCCACCCTACATGTATGAGATATGTCAAAAAGCAGAGCTGCTGAAACACCTTGATGAAGACCCGACAGGGCAGACAAACATGGCATATGACGACAACACGCAAAAAACAGAAACAGTCCGCGACGCCCCAAGGGCGTGGTGTCCACAAACAAACTGACCATGCACATACATACCTGCATCTTCCAAGGTACTTCTTTTTTATCAGTTCAGCCAAAAATCATCAAAAACCTACCTTTTTATGTGCTGGCGGTGTTTTTTGGTTGCATTCGACGTTTTTCCAAAATGTGTGCTCCATAAATGTTTCTGGAAAGTTCTTGCCCACATGGAAGCATCAAAGAACCTCATTTCTTTAGCACATTGAAGAGGATCCAGAACATGAAATTTCAATTGCTCTAGCAGTAGCAGCTCAGCACGCTTCACTCACTTCTTGTAATTGTGTACTTTCGCCTTTTGCTCTCCAAACAAAAAAACATGCGAAATCAACAGAACATGTACCTTTGAAGTAAGGCTGGTAAAATGTCCAAAGCAACAACATGTTTGAGAGCATTCTGAGAAATACTTGGAACGAAAGTGTGATTCAGTTGCTCCCTGCCGGGTTCGGAACGAAATGGCGTAAATTGCCGCCAAAACGGCGTAAATTGCTGCCAAAACGGCGTAAATTGCTGCCAAAACGGCGTAAATCGAAACAAGGAAACTTCCAGTCATTCAAGTGAGTTATGTCAAGGGTCCATTTATGTCAATGACAATCACTGTATGCATAATGTCGTGGGTGCACACTGAGCAGGTTGTTCAAAAAATCAGTTCCCAAGAATGATTTCTGTGAGCGTTTAGAATGTTGCATGCTGAAAGCAGGATTGTTTTGAACCCCATTTGAGCGCAGCAATAATGCTTCACACTCTTTAGACATCTTTAGACCAACTTGTTGGAAATCAAGAATAACGTTTTGGTCAACCTGGATTGGACGATGTGGGGATCGAAGCTGGGATAGTATAGAAAACACTGAAAAGGCCTTTTTTTTGGTAAACATAGTTTTTTTTTTCAGCAATCGAGTTAAATTTTAGATTGACGAAACGGATAACATTTTACATGGGTGGAGGATGTAGGTATAAACAGGCTTGGTATGATTTTGTTTTCGAATGACCATTGAAGTATTGAAGTATTGAAGTACAGTTACTATTGCGATCTATTGCGCAATTCAATACGTGACACCCAAGTACCACACTCTGCACTTCAAAAAACAACAAGAACCAATTGGCACTTGGCGCCTGCTTTGCAATTTGTTGAGTGCTCACGGCGGCAGCTGCGGACTCTTTGGTTGTTTCGGCCCACATGTTGAACACTGTGGACAAGGTCTTAGCATTTTTTTTGCAAAAAGGTGCCCCCAAAAAACTTGCAAAGAATATCTGATAAACCCTGCAGGTTTCCAACTTGTGTGCATACAACCAAAAAGGTTCGAATCCTGTTTGCACCATCTCTAAGACATCAACTTCTGAGCAAAGCTTCTGGTATTTGGCATCAGCTGCTGCCTCGTCAACGTTCACAAGCTGCAAACCAGTCACATGAGCGAAATGCATCCAAATCCATCCAAATGCCATGTCTGCATCGCAGTGGGTTTTGTGTGGGTGTCTTTGTGGAAAATGGGCAAGAGCATGAAAACGCCACAGCGATCCACAGATATCCGCAGCAAAAACCAAGTGCACGTCTCATTACACTCTTGACTTTTTCTACATTATCATATGCTGCTTCGGATCCTGGTTCACTTTGCGCAGGAAACCAGATGCAGAGCAAACTAGCTTCCATCCCTGAAGCACGAGACATCTTGAGAAGTGAAATGCTCATGATGTGTCGTGTTTGCATTGCAAAGACTGGAAATCTGTTTAAATACATGCCTATCATCTGAGGCCCTCTCGGAAAACACCGCGGCCAGGGACAGCTGCTCAATCTCAGCCTGCAACGTGATTCCAGTGTACACAGTTTCCTGCAAAGCTTTGCTCTTCTTTGATCCTTACTGATCCTTCATCCTTTCTGACAAATTCCGGTGTCTTGGGGCCTTGGGGTCTCAATCTTTTTGAGATCCTCCTCTGTATAAAATGGTACAGGCACCGGTAGCACTGTCCCAGCTTGAGCATCTCCAGCCTGCTTTGGTTTGCTCTGTGCCAGCCATTCGCGGAGCACGGTCGACAAAATCTCAGATGCTGAATGTGATTGGCAACATTTTGTTTGGGGGGATTGACTGAACGCAAGCTTTTCCATGCTCTTCATGTGCACACTTTCTTGTGCTTGTTTCACTAAGGTGTCAACCTCTGCACAGTCCTTCTGATACCCTGCATCAGCTGTGGCCTGTAATAGAACTGGTTGAGTAACTCTGCTTACATGCAGGATCATGCACGTACTCGTATAAATGACAAACAGGCCTTTGCCCACAGAATCAACACTACCATGCAAACTATGTGCGTGCAAGCCTTTCTCACACATACAGAGATACTAAACATACAAACATGCGCTCCCTTCTCTCCCTCTCTGTATTGCCCTCAATCACATACTTGCGCCCAGCATGATTAAATGCCTACCCCACATTAATATATATATAGTTTTAAACTTGTTTTTGTATGTTTTTGTGATATGTTATGCAGGATTGAACCAGTTGTCTCAGCATCAGTCATTCAATATCTCAGCTGCAATTCTCGGCGACGCCTTTTGCATGTTCCGGATGAAGCTGGAGGTGAAGCAAAGCAACTTCCACGCCTCGAACAACACAAACACATGTATGCACACCAACAACTGCACAGGCGGAAGTCTTCCATTCATGTACATCCTAAAGTAATATAGAAATATATAGAACAAACACATGCAAACAATTACAGACATATATGTATACCGTATACATACCACAAAATACCACACATATACAGATGTGACATGATTTTTAGATGATTTTTAGATGACGTGACCAGCTCCCGGAGTTGGGCCCAGGCTGACATCACGGCCGACGTAATGGACGCACGCACCGACGTTCGCACCAAGGCCTGGCATCGACCCATCGACCCATCGACCCATCGGCCCAGCATGGCCCAGCGCCGGTGCCACGGAGCGGTCAGCCCCGGTCAGGCCTTGTGGACTTTGACGAGGCACTGGATGAACCAGGCACGAAGCACGGTCTTAGCCTCAGACTCTTACGAAATGCCGGCCACAAGACAATAGAAAGGGTGTGAAATAGTTTTAGGATTTTTTTTTTGAGCAGGTTTGGGATTTTTTTTGGATTTCTTGGCTGGTACCATTTGCCTAGTGTTTGCAACGGTTTGGAACTTGAATTTGTCATTTTGCATGGTATTTGCCACATTTGGGCATGTTCTCCTTCCATTTTGCATGGGATTTACTACATGTGGGCATGTTCACCTTCCATTTTGTATGGTATTTGCCACATTTTGGCATGTTCACCTTCCATTTTGCATGGGATTTCCTACACGTGGGCATGTTCACCTTCCATTTTGTATGGTATTTGCCACATTTTGGCATGTTCACCTTCCATTTTGCATGGGATGTTCTACATGTGAGCATGTTCACCCAAATATTTACAGATGCGGAAGCTTGGGATTAGATAAAAAGCGGGTGGGGGGATTGAGGGAGGGCGCTAGCTATCTATCCAGCTAGCTAGCTATCTAGCTATCTAGCTAGCTATCTATCTAGCAAGCTAGCTATCTATCTAGCAAGCTATCTATCTATCTAGCTATCTATCTACCTATCTAGCTAGCTATCTTGCTAGCTATCTATCTGCCTATCTAGCTATCTAGCTAACTATCTATCTATCTAGCTTTCTATCTATCTAGCTATCTATCTATCTAGCCATCCAGCTGTCTATCCAGCTATCTAGCTATCGAGCTATCTAGCTAACTATCTATCTAGCTATCTAGCTACCTAGCTTTCTATCTATCTAGCTATCTATCTATCTAGCCATCCAGCTGTCTATCCAGCTATCTAGCTATCGAGCTATCTATCTAGCTATCTATCTATCTAGCTAACTATCTACCTATCTATTTAGCTATCTATCTATCTATCTAGCTATCTATCTAGCTACCTCTTTATCTATCTAATTCTATCTATCTAGCTACCTCTTTATCTATCTAATTCTATCTAGCTAGCTATCTATCTATCTAGCTATCTATCTAGCCATCTATCTATCTAGCTATCTATCTCTCTAGCTATCTATCTATCTAGCTGGCTATCTATCTATCTATCTAGCTATCTACCAAGCTATCTATCTATCCAGCTATCTATCTATCTATCTATCACATGTAATCCTGTCAGCTTTCCAGAGAAGGTTAGTTCGCAAAAACCAACTAATGTAACTTGGGTTTAAGTTTAAATAAAAAAAAGCGGGAGGGGGGGATTGGGGGGAGGGCGCAGCGCCTCCCCCAAAGCAGAATGCAAGCACCTCTTCTCACATGTTACGTTGCTAGTTTTCAAGAGAAGGTTGGTCATTGGTCATGTGATACTCAGGGATGTAAATACTGTGCAAAATGCATCTTACATGAAAATCAAGTATTTAAAGCAGGCAAAGCAAAAAAAAAACAGAGAAGCAAAAAAGCAGAGAAGCAAAGAAACAGGAAACGCACAAAAGCAAAACAGCAGAAAGGCAAAGAAGCAGGAAAAGCAGAAAAGCAGAGAAGCAGGAAAAGCAGAGAAGCAAAGAAACAGGAAAAACAGAAAAGCAAAAAAGCAGAAAAGCAGAGAAGCAGAGAAGCAGGAGAAGCAGAAAAGCAAAAAAGCAGAAAAGGCGAGAAGCAGGAGAAGCAGAAAAGCAAAAAAGCAGAAAAGCAGAGAAGCAGGAAAGCAGGAAAAGCAGGAAAAGCAGAGAAGCAGGAAAAGCAGGAAAAGCAGAGAAGCAGGAATCCAAAAATAATTCCTAAACCTGATCAAAAAAAAAATCCTAAAATAATTAGCCCTCCCAATAGAAATGTCTTGTCCAACTAAATTAATCTAAATCATTAAAATATATGAACACATGTCCTATATTTCTGTGTTTTTGAAAGTTAAAACACAAAACATATCAAAACACTCTATTATAATCATTATATGTTCCATCACACATGTGATGCTTTTGGCGACCAAACGTGCCTGATCGTGTGTTGCCGTGATTTGAGCAAGACTTCGGGATATGGGCGTTGATTCACAAACGTTGAATATCCGTAATGTCAGTGCAAGAAATCCATCGGAAGAGTGAAGAGATCACTTATGATCACTTCAGTGCAGCCCTCATGGGCAAAAGCTCTAGACATCACTGAGGGCTGCACGCTTGGTTTGCACATCCACTCCATACAGTGTATAATCTTCGATCCCAGGAGCATGGTTCCTGGGAGAAGCTTAGCAGCTTGCTTCACATGCTTACAGGACTATCCAACCGCTGTTGGCATCGAGCAGCATCCTTGCCTTGTTTCCAAGCATGGAAGCATTGATGCAATGATACAGTGCCTGTCGCACGGTGCATGCCGAAAACTAGTATGGGTCTCCAGCAGTGGCACCCCCAGGTGTATGCTCATCCTTTAGAAAACACCGAGCTGGAAGGTGGGCACACTTTTCAAGCTCAGCTTGACTTTATCGACATAGGCTACAAACCTCTCCAACGCATCTCAAGAAATTTTGTTGCTGATCTTCAGATGTGGATTCTCAATGTTTTTGTGAACGATGACATAGCTGCCATCTGCAATCTCTGTGGTGTATGTCCAATCCTTGAAGACTTTTCGCAGATTTTCATCTGCCAAAGGTGTTTGGCACGCATCCTCCACCAACCTCACAGGGATGGTCGATCCTGAATCCTTGCCATACCTCGCCATGCACATCTCGTAAATCTGTGCCACCTGCCCGTGCATCAGCATGGGAACTCCATGTTTCTTGGCCAAACCCTGCCCCAACTCGATGTCCTTTGCCATCATCTCGGCAGTGAAATCAGGGTAGTAGCTGCCATCCATCACCCGCGCGAACTCCGTCTCCCAGCAAAACGAATTACCTGAGGAGATACGCATTGCGTCGAAGAGCCTGAGTATAAAGCCGCAAGTCACATGGGGGAGTGCAGGGGGGACATTCATTCATAAAGAAATGTTCCCTTGCGTTGACCGTGAGCCTGCAGGCCCAGGTACTCAACTGAACATACACAAAGGTGAAGGTACAGGTGATGTGTTGGGATGCGCAGCTACTCATCTCAAGTTTGATGTGAAGATATGTGAAGCAAAGGCATCTGAATTAAGATCAGCAGCAATTTCAGATCCACCCCACACTTTTTGGCAATCATCATCACCTCACCCATGGCGCAATCTTGAACAGCACAGAGCATATTGGTCAGGATCTTCACCACGGTTTCATGCCCAAAGTCCCCGCAGCGCACAATGCGTGGGGCGGACAAAGCGATCAAAGGTTCCACCTTGGAGCCACGGCACCGCACCATGTGACCTGGAAAGATTTCCAGGAAAATCTCACAAGTTCCAAGACGTTCCAAGATGTTCCAAATATGGATTCGCCTGTCTGATTCCTGTGAGGAAACTGGGCGACAATAGGTGTGGTCGCAAACCTTTCTTGATAAGAGATTTGTTTTCACTCACAACATGTACTGTCGAAGCAAATAACATGGCGTATTCATATACTCCATGAGACTTCTGCCGTGATGCCGTACCATGCTGGCGCAATCCAAGGCACTCGCTTGAAGGTCTCCTCGTCGGCACCAACCAGTGAGACCATCTTTCCCACTTTCAGGATCTGCATTCCTCCAGTCAGCGGGGCAGCCACTGCCTCCAGGATCATGGAGCTGTGTGGTGGTTGACAAAAACCACAGTGCTTGGAAGAAAGAAATCAGTTTGGTAGATCTTAAACTCATGTTTGAATTCTTTCATCAAGAGCAGCCAAGCATACATATGCCACAACTGAGCGCACCTTTGCTCCCCGTTTCTCCACCTCCGCTCGAATCTTGAGGGTATTCTCGAAGTCGGTGGTGGAATGCTCAATCCAGACCGAGTTTGGCTGAAGGCCGGCAAGAATTCCTAGGGAAGGACGTGGAAGGACTAAACTTGGCATAACTCTTGGCTCCAATCACGGAAAAATCCAATGCTCAGCCGCTGCCTGCAATATTCTAAAAACTCTGAGGTCCAGCTTTGCAAACAATATCGCATGGAAATCCAGTCCTTGCTATATGAAGATTCTGACAAACGAGAAGCTATCTCTTGTAAGTCAACTAAGCCTGAACTCTTGAGATGTGGTCAAATCTAGTCAAATGTCTGTCAGCAAGTACATTGGCAGTAGTTGCATCAAACAACTAAAAAACATCACTAAACACAACTCCTCTCCCTCGCATCGGTCGTCAAGATGCCATCTGGATTGATGTTCGTGCCCTCCAGGCCCATGGCTGCGGACACATTCTCCGGTCTGGGCAAACCAGTCAGAATCACATCACCTCACAGCCAGGGCCATGAAGGCCATGGCGTCGGAAGGGCCATGGGATGCTGCTGAGGGACATTGCTCTGCCACTTCTCGACCAGAATTGGCCCAAACAGCTCCCTGATCCAGCAAGTGCCGGGCAATGGATTCGCCCTTTACCTCATCCAACACCATCCAACACCATCCAACCACAGTAAACTGAAGCGCTTTAAACTGAGGTCCTTTCTCTTTCATGCTTGGCAAACGAGGAAGGCACTGACTGAAGAAGTTCTGCAAGTGACCGTCATTTCCCGCGGAATCTGTTACTTCAGCTTGCTCATGCCATATTACATAAACCATCAACATCTTTAAACATCCGCAAACATCACAAACGGCATCGTCGGCGGCTGCCAGTTCTCAGCTGCATTGAGGCACATCATAAAGAACAGGTGCCAAACCAGCACGCAGGAGATTTCCAGTAACCTGAGCAACCAGTCAACATGGGCCATTCGTTGCATCGGCCTGTTCTTTCCTCGTCTCTTGCATGCAAGGCATTCAACACGCACCTGGTCACCTGCTCCTGCTCCTGCTTTTTCTGATATATATAAATATATTTATAATGATGGTAATGATGATGGTGATTGATGGTGATGGTATGTGATGGTGTTGGTCAGCAACATTTTTCACACATTGTATATTCAAGAGCGCACAAAGGGAAGGTCTTGACAGGTGCTGGGAGGAAACATGTGGAAACAGTTGGGCAGCTTTTCCACCAAGCAACTGCCTGGCCCAATTGGCCAAGGCCAATCATTCCCACGCGCCCTGGGCGTGGCCAGTCCTCCAGTGGAATCCAATGACAGCAATTGGACCACACTATGGCACTGGAGACATGGAATTCTCAGTTTCACCATGGAACTCAGTTCCAATTCCGTAACATCCATTAAAATCCATTAAAATCCAAGAATCAATACTGGCCACTGTGGAAGATCGCCGCACCAACTGTCGAATAGCGAGCGCCATGACCAAAATTGTGTGGCAAACAATGAGACTGTGCCCGCCAGATCAGCTAGGCCAGTCGTAGGGACCAATTCACATCTGGTTGCATTTATGCTTCAAAATTTGGCGTTTGAAGTGATTGTCTGTGTACGTCTGTGATTTCTGTCTGTGCAACATTGTTTGCGTAGCGTGCACGATCTTGTTTGAAGCCTAGCTGAGCTTGAAAAGCTGCAGCCAACGAAAGCTTGAATCGTCTAATGGAGTCTAATGCAGAAGAGTCGAATTCACAGTGACGGGCTAACTTTGCACAGCGTAGCAGCACCAGATTGCAAAGTGGCCTGGGCGCCGCTGCCTCCGTGCGATCCAGTTTTTTTTCATCCAGCAATTCAGCAGCTTGACAGTGTCAATATGTGTCAATAATTATGGGCACACCATGTCAAATCAACAAGATCAAAATATCAACACAGGCCCAAACCATCCCAAAACCTGGTTAAGTTGGTTAAGTCTGCTGGATTTAACACATTTTAACACGCTGCAACGGCCGGAACGTTTCTGCCTGGAAGGGATCTCCTCCCACTGGGCCGGCACCAAGGGCGCTTCCTGGAAAGCCGCCTGAGGCATCTGCAAATCTGAGGCATCTGCCTGGATAACCTGGATAACAAAAGTGTGTATATATATATATATATATGTATTTATATATATAAATATAGATGATACAGGGATGTCTAGAGATGTTTAGGGGAGGGCTGTGGCAGCACTGCTGATTCCTGCCTTTGTTGGTTTGTTGGTAGATGACTCCCTTTTCGGATTAGGCACTTGCACCGGACCTTGCTGTGTAGTTAGCTTGTACAGTGCTTCTCTTGTAGCTATAATTTAGTGCATTTTTGACATTGGATTAATGCTCCGTGCTCGGGTGTTAAGTCCCATCCAAGAGGTGGAAGGAAGAATCAGAAACGTAAGGCATCTTGATGCTATCTGTAAAGGGTAACTTGAGATTAAAGTGGTGCAAAGCCCCCATGCATGCAAGAAACGTTGAGTGGCATTGAGTCATTGCGGTAAACAGGTGATAGCTGAACTTGATCATTAAAGAACAATGTCCAACAAGATACCATTAAACTGCAGTGCGTCTGTCCGTGGTAAACGGTCACCATGCACAAAGGTAGCGCCATGCTGTAAGAGAGTCATCTAGAATGTTCGGGTGAGCGGACCATGCTTGGTGCTGGCTGGCAGCTTCAACATGTTCGACCAATTCCACATCACTCTCAGCCAGCCGGATTCTTTTAAATCCCAAGAACGGATACAAAATCAAATCGACCAGCCAGTTTTGTCCCAATTATTAAGTCCTACAGCAGTCCAGCCATCATAATCAAACATAGTCAAACAACACGATGTGAGATCTCATGGTGCCTGGTGAAGTGTTACCCGCTGCCGCAATGATCGCTGCGTTTCGTGGTTCCACGCGCTGAGCGTCAGCCGAAGCACCTGGTGTCAGAAAGTTGTGGATGGCTAGAAATATTTGGCACATCCAAGACTCTAAGACGTCAAGAGCCTATATAACCCTACATAATCTTACCTATAGATACCACTAGATTGATAGAATTATAATGAATTATAGATTTAGACAAAGATTCTAACATTTCTAAAACTTTCCAAACATCTTCAAAAGCGACAAAGCACCAGGAACCTTTTCCTTCCCCGTGGCCTCGCCGTGAAACTCTTTGCGGATCGAGCTCATTGCCTTCACCAAGTCATGGCTCTCCGCACTGTGGAACAAATAGGAACAAATAGGAACAAATAGGAACACTGTGTTCGCAAATGTTAGCAACTTGGGGTTCCACATTCCAGCCTTGTCTTGATCCATGCCAAAACAAACACTGCTCGAAAACAATCATCACACAGAGTAAAAACACAAAGGCCTGAGGTTTCAAATATGATTATGCGAGATTATGCGAGTATTATAACAGCACACTTGCATACATCAACGCTAGTGTGCAAGAATATGCACGTCTTCGGTGGCAATGGCAGTGGTCGGCACCTTGGCAAGTCTCTTCCCTGCCATGGACTTGGAAGATAAGCGACGCCAAGCCTCGAAGCATCTGGAACCAACTTCTGATGGTTGTGCCAGCTTTGCATAGCTTTGCTATGCTTTCCTCCATTCAGCGAATGGGACCCAATAATTAAAGGTTTTCAAACAGTCATGTCGTCTACGGTACATCAACAAGGACTCTTGCAAAAGGTTGTAGCTCCGTTGCTCAGGTTGGAAAATGCCCTCTCCAGCTGGTTCGCAGCCCCACAGGTTTCTGAGACTTTTGCAGCTAGAATCGCTCCCAGCAAGAAAGATGTGACGAGTTCCTGGTCCAACGCGCAAACTTTGCAAACAGCAAGAGGTCACATTCCATTGCTAACTGAGACATGTATATTGTATTGTTTTGTAATCGAGGAATCAAATACAAGAGACACAGGTGTGAGGATCAGTCAGGCTCATGCAGTTCTTGATGCACACCTGCTTGAGGGTAGTGATGACTACAGGAAGGCAAGCAGGATTCAAAAGGTATGAAGACAGGCCACGCCTTTCAGGCTGCCTCTGTCACATCTGAATCTAAATTAAGGCAACAAAATCAAAGAAAATCAAAGAATACAATACCATATAAATCCAGCTCTGTTCTCATCAAAAAAATGGAACTCCCATATTTCTTTACGAGGAAATCCCCAAAAATGCGTAAAAATGCTGGATTCTCCACGATTTTCCACTACCAGATCTACCAGGTCAGCTGACCAGGCCCAGTGAACCTCACCCTGCCTCCTGAGCATTCACCCGGTGCAGGCGCCACCGCACCACCTGGGTCAATCGACTCCAGGCGCTCCACGTGGCAGCGAGCACCTCAAACGTGGCCCACACCGAGCTGCCGAAACACGCCGAGCATCCGCTGAGTGGCCCACAGCAATGCTGGTGGCAGCTCGAAGTGCGTTTTGAGTGCCCTGATCTATGCTGAAGGGACATCTGGATAATTCTCGATAATATATATAATATATATATACATAACTTATTTGCGACTTATATGATAACTTTCATGCATTACTTAAAACAATAGAAACAGCCAGGCACGAAGGGTGGGTGAAAAAAATTGAAAAAAGGCAAAGGCAAAGAATTCATTCAAAAACAATCACACCCCAGGCGTTTTGCTTTTTCTGGGTTCTAGGAAGTGCTTGTGTCAGGCCTCCACTTTCACTTGTTGCTGGGAAGTGCTCACCAGGTGCCACCAAGAGGTCAAGACATGCAGCGTTGCCTCAGTGCCATGGCCGTTTTCAACTTTACAAAATCTGCAGGCGGTGTATAGCTGAGGTATGTGACCTGTCTGCCCAGGTGTCTTGCTCGGAGGCCAGCAACTGCCTGCAAGGCAGCCAACAAACAACTAATCATGTCCCCGTTATATGATATCAAGTTCCTTCACATGGGCCCTAACATGACCGAAACATGAATAGATCCAATGCTCGGGGTTCTAGATAATTATGATAGTCTTGTATGTTATGACATAGTGTTTGATAATTACATAGCAAGATCATCCAGCAGCAGCAGCTGGCAATGCCTTGCAGTGTCCATCCAGGGTGCCTTCAAGGAGTCTCGCTTGGCCCGTGCGTGGCATGCAGCAGCATGCCATCCCTGGGCGCCACATATCGCCGTGCTTCAGTTGAGAGCAACATCTTTAAGAGAAACGAGTGATCAACATCATGGTCATCATTGTCATCATCATTATCATCATGGCCATCCTCATGATCATCACCTTCAGCTTCATCCTTATGTATATAATGGGTAATGCATGTTAACGCTCTAGGAGCACACCAAACCCCATTCTATTACAGCAATCCTAAACTCTTCAGTGCCTGCAAGAGGGCCAGCAGGAACGAGGCCTCACCCTGCGAACCGAGCACCTGCAGGACAGGCGGACGATGCCCCCTCGGTCGCATTTTAAAGTCTCTCATGAAACTCAAGGCCTGCAGGAGACGGTTGATGGCTCCAGACTGAAGCATTGCACGTCTCCAACCCTCAGTTCGCAGAGCGATCTGTTCAGAGATTCTCAACGCGACATGATAGCTCATGCGTGGCACATGGTCAAGGTCATGTCGTGTCATATCCAGAAGTAGGACCTAGGATGGCCTAGTGATGCCTGGGGTTCTTGCAAGGAATATCAACAGCAAAACCTGGCCAACATCTTCAAGGAGTTGAACGCTTCCGGAAAAGTTTCAACATTTTCCAATTCTTCCAGCTGCAACAATACACCATGACTCCATGACCGTCTGCCTGGCCTGTCCGTCAAGCTCCTTCCAGTGCATGATGCAGGTTGCCTGTAGCAAGTTTGTTTCTGCTCAGCTCATCACTGAATCATGCAGGAACATCAACAGTCAACTTCAAACCCTTTCCTGTTTGGAGGTTGTCATGCTAGAAAGCCCCAACTTGTACAAACAAAATCCAACAAACGCGTGAAACGCCAATCAGCGCAACTGTCCCCCATACCCCGTCGGCATGGCCTTGGAGACCTTGTCTCCCACAACGGTCTTGGAAGTCAAGCGCCTCCATGCCTGATGGAAATGGATAAGTGATACAGTGATAGAAATGATTCCGAAAGTAGTTCTAAGGCCCAAGCTGCAAGGGTGGTTGCCAACAGGATGGATGGAGCCAGCTCCTAACCGACGTTGCTTTTGGTGGCCAAGTCCAAGGTTGAGTAGGTGGCTCCGAAATTTGATGGTTGACCAACGGTCGATCATCACTTTCCCATTGAAACTGCTCTTTTTGGCATCCATCATTTTTGGACATCCCTCATTTTTTGACAAACCAATATTGTTCAACGACGACGGCAGCGTGTTCAGCAATTTGACAATTTGGATGGAAAACCAATAAGAAAAGTTTGCTCAATGCTTGCGACAAAGGCCAAAGGCTTGCTTGAATCCCGAACATGATAAACTGAACAATGGGTGCCTCTTGAGCATTCGCTCGAATACGCCGACGTGATGCCACTTCTGCTTCTCGACTCCAGCCACTGAAAACGGCACCAAGCACCTCAATGCACATGTATGCATATGCGATAATATATGTTGACACACACACACACATACTTACAATACATACGATTACATATTACATACCTATCTACATAATTCATCATAATTCTATACATACATACCCATGTTAATCATACATATTCAATCATATTCAATCATATTCATATATGGTTTGGAACGGTGTCGCTGATATTGCGCCATTGGTGGAACATGTTGTTCAGCGCTACATCTCCAAGCTGCTAGTTGATTTCATGGTGTAATCGCAATGTTGTGCTCAGGGTGGAGCTTGCATCTGGTCATCCCGTGCACGACGTGATGCAGTCACCTGCGCCACTTAGCATGTCCATTCATGATATGACGCAGGAAATCAAATGATGCCTGATGATCCCTTTATATCCCTTTGCGCACATCTTAGTGTTCCCTCTGTCTTTCCAGGTCCTTCCACTTCATAGAAAACCTGTGAAAACATCCAAGACATGCTTGGCACGCTTCGGCCCTGTACTTCTCAGATTGCTTCCCCCGTCCTAGCCTGAAGCAAACCATTTATGGTTCCAGACCGGAGGGTTGCATGCCTCCATGCCTCAGCAAGTTTCAGCTAGTTGGTCCCTCCATGTCCCTCCACACTCTGCGGTTTCTGCGTCTATTTTATCCGCAACAATGAATGCTCTGCAAACCAATAAGTAGCACTAAAGATCAATGTTAATAAATGTGAAGGCTTCTGCACGGGAACCTCTAAGACAGGAGCTGCGAGGGTAATTGCCATCAGGAAGGAGGGAGCTAGCTCCTGATCAACACACTTCTGCTGCCAAATCAATGTAGACATTCCATGATGATAAATCCATTTCAAACAAATCAGCCAGCTCTTCTACACTCTGATATGCTCATCCCAAAACTGCTTGGCAACGTCTTCTCAAGGCTTGCGACAAAGGCCACAGGCTTGCTTGAATCCCGATCATGATAAACTGAACAATGGGTGCCTCTTGAGCATTCGCTCGAATACGCCGACGTGATGCCACTTCTGCTTCTCGACTCCAGCCACTGAAAACGGCACCAAGCACCTCAATGCACATGTATGCATATGCGATAATATATGTTCACACACACATACTTACAATACGATTACATATTACATACCTATCTACATAATTCATCATAATTCTATACATACATACCCATGTTAATCATACATATTCAATCATATTCAATCATATTCATATATGGTTTGGAACGGTGTCGCTGATATTGCGCCATTGGTGGAACATGTTGTTCAGCGCTACATCTCCAAGCTGCTAGTTGATTTCATGGTGTAATCGCAATGTTGTGCTCAGGGTGGAGCTTGCATCTGGTCATCCCGTGCACGACGTGATGCAGTCACCTGCGCCACTTAGCATGTCCATTCATGATATGACGCAGGAAATCAAATGATGCCTGATGATCCCTTTATATCCCTTTGCGCACATCTTAGTGTTCCCTCTGTCTTTCCAGGTCCTTCCACTTCATAGAAAACCTGTGAAAACATCCAAGACATGCTTGGCACGCTTCGGCCCTGTACTTCTCAGATTGCTTCCCCCGTCCTAGCCTGAAGCAAACCATTTATGGTTCCAGACCGGAGGGTTGCATGCCTCCATGCCTCAGCAAGTTTCAGCTAGTTGGTCTCTCCATGTCCCTCCACACTCTGCGGTTTCTGCGTCTATTTTATCCGCAACAATGCTCTGCAAACCAATAAGTAGCACTAAAGATCAATGTTAATAAATGTGAAGGCTTCTGCACGGGAACCTCTAAGACAGGAGCTGCGAGGGTAATTGCCATCAGGAAGGAGGGAGCTAGCTCCTGATCAACACACTTCTGCTGCCAAATCAATGTAGACATTCCATGATGATAAATCCATTTCAAACAAATCAGCCAGCTCTTCTACACTCTGATATGCTCATCCCAAAACTGCTTGGCAACGTCTTCTCAAGGCTTGCGACAAAGGCCAAAGGCTTGCTTGAATCCCGAACATGATAAACTGAACAATGGGTGCCTCTTGAGCATTCGCTCGAATACGCCGACGTGATGCCACTTCTGCTTCTCGACTCCAGCCACTGAAAACGGCACCAAGCACCTCAATGCACATGTATGCATATGCGATAATATATGTTCACACACACACATACTTACAATACATACGATTGCATATTACATACCTATCTACATAATTCATCATAATTCTATACATACATACCCATGTTAATCATACATATTCAATCATATTCAATCATATTCATATATGGTTTGGAACGGTGTCGCTGATATTGCGCCATTGGTGGAACATGTTGTTCAGCGCTACATCTCCAAGCTGCTAGTTGATTTCATGGTGTAATCGCAATGTTGTGCTCAGGGTGGAGCTTGCATCTGGTCATCCCGTGCACGACGTGATGCAGTCACCTGCGCCACTTAGCATGTCCATTCATGATATGACGCAGGAAATCAAATGATGCCTGATGATCCCTTTATATCCCTTTGCGCACATCTTAGTGTTCCCTCTGTCTTTCCAGGTCCTTCCACTTCATAGAAAACCTGTGAAAACATCCAAGACATGCTTGGCACGCTTCGGCCCTGTACTTCTCAGATTGCTTCCCCCGTCCTAGCCTGAAGCAAACCAATTATGGTTCCAGACCGGAGGGTTGCATGCCTCCATGCCTCAGCAAGTTTCAGCTAGTTGGTCTCTCCATGTCCCTCCACACTCTGCGGTTTCTGCGTCTATTTTATCCGCAACAATGAATGCTCTGCAAACCAATAAGTAGCACTAACATGCACTATATAACTTATAAAACTACAATAGATCTAGACCTATTTTAACAAAAATACACAGATTCAGGGTCCCCCTCACACTCTTCATCTTGACATTCATTCTTCAACCACTTTCGGCATCCTGGCCCCATTCTCAATGACTCTGAGATCATAGCTGCGAAGGTCGTTGCCAGGACGACGGATGTACACAGTTCCTGACCAATACGGCATTTTATTCAAAAGCATCTGCACGTGTGGATTTGCTCCCAAGCTCAAGACAATTACAGAGACTCAGATGATTCAGGTGTGCAGTGAGGGGTACACGTCGATGAAATACGAGAAAAGCCTCATAATAATTCATCATGAATTACAAGAACTCATGCAAAACACTTTTCCCAACTGAAATAGGCGGAGGATTAATGTTTATAGTACCTACATGTACCTACCAATACTCTGTTGCCAATACACCATCCATCATGGTCAATTGATGACTCACCATGGGTCAAACAGCTTTCCCAGGACTTGAAGAACACACCATCACATAGGAAAACCAATTTTGATCCAGGCCTGCATGTATTGCAACAAGGAGCAACACAGAACCCACAGGTTTCTGACATTGCCGGTTCCATTGGGTTTCCTGATTGGAGTACTGAGTAGTGTTTGATTTTGTTGATTGTTCCGCCATCCAACGTATGTCTTTCAGAATCCGGTTGAGATGCTTACTTACAAACTGTACTAGTGAGAGAACAAGTCTTTATCAATATTCCAAAATGTCCGTGGGTGGAAAACCTGGCGTTGACCAACAAAATTTGTGTCATAGTAGGGCTTGACTGTTCTACTGTACATAATAAGCCTAATTTTCCCACCTTTTTCCTTTGGCCTGGCCGCGCATTTTGCCCATCACAATGCAGGCAGCTGAGTTTGACAACAAACATCAACAAACCATGCATGAAACAGTTGGATTGTCCGGATTCGTCGATACTGCTTGTGATAGTTCTTGTCGGACTGGGGGTCCGATCCTTTAGGATTTTCCAGGATCACCAGCAAGACGGACCTAACGTCCTCAATTGAAGTGAGCTTTCGAACACCTGAAAGATCTGAAAGGCTTTCAAGCATTTTAAAGCTCTGCCAAAGGCTGCCACAGCTGATTTGCTCGAGGCTTCTTTGTTCCATTTTGTTCCTGGATACTATGGGTATGCGGTGGGCAGCCACTTGATCCAGTCCGTGTACCATACCAGGCAGCAGAGAATCGAATACCCTGCTATGAAAACGCGTAGAACCAGCGTTGAGCATCGCTCTGAGAAGCGACGAAGCACCAGGCCCCAAGGTTTTTCCACGAAATGAAATGTCAGCGCAGAGAGCAGAAAGACCAGCAGCAACGAAGGACCAAAAAACAACAGCTCATGCGCCCAAAAAGACTTCAAAAAAAAATCTTTTTTCAAGAGCATCCATGCCGGAAAATGAACCTTTAGGAAGTGAATCACAGGACGGTGCCACAGCTGCATGTTAAGGGCCAAATCTCGGAGAGTCACAGGTATTGCAACCAGCTGGGCAAATGGTGCCCTCAATGGGCTCTGTGAAGCTTTGCACTGTTTGGAGCCCATCATGAGGTGTAAACTAGAGAAGGCCACTAACTCAAAGGGCAAGCAGGCCAGCGCATAGCGTGTGTCACTCGATCTCATGCTCTGCACATTGGGCGGCCTACAGTCTGAGAAGCCAAGACCCTGCCAATCGATTTGAAGAAATACCGGTTTGGTTCCAAACAAAAAGCTTAGCAACAGCATCGCTGCACAGAAACCATTGGTGAAAAAGCCTCCCAGCGTCTTCTTCCAGCGTGCCAAACATGCCACCACTCTGGGAAGTCTGAGAAAGCTGTCAACATTCAGCAACAACAGTGAGCTTGGAAACCAGTGCATCCAAAAGGAGCTATGCATGTTAGGATGGGTGCGTCTCATCACCAAGTTGCATGCACCTATAGGCGCGGCGGCTCCCGTTTCAACAAATCAACAACTGGAATCAGCTAGGCTTGACATTTTCTGATGCCACCCAACCCAAATTAAATGAAAGGGTCAGAACCCTCAAGGGTCAACAACATTCACTATGAATGAATACAGCATTGTCTAGGGTTGTCTTGCATGATCATTGTATCCCCCGTCCCTTGTCCAAACTCCCACCTGGTTGGGCATCCTGAGCAATGAGGTATCCCCAGTACACGACGCAAGCGAAAGGCAGCAGTTTTGGCATAGTGGGTCTCAGCAAACCCAAAAGGCCAACGAGTAAAAACTCCATCATATCAACTTGGAAGGCCCACACATACCTCAACGTGAGGTCGCCATGAAATGCTTGGTCATGTGCATGGATCTGTCTATGGATATGCGCGCCCAAAGGAACTACACGTACACGTACAATCACGTACAGCACCGTACAGCCGAAAATGCAAAGATCACAAGCAATATACAAATAATTCTCAAATGTATTTGACCATGTTCTGACCTTTCACAATTCTCACGTATAGTGCATTCCAAAGTTTGGAACCCAGATCCCTGAAACAGCATTCACTGCATTCTGGACATGCGTGGTTTTCCAACGCGGCAAACAACCAATTAAACCCCAGCAGTCATCAACCTTTGGGCCGCCGAGACACGTTGGCCAAGCTGTCTCCAACCCCCAAAGATCTGGATCAGATGGCATTGCGGTTAGAAGCTGCAGGATCCAGCGCATGAAATCTCTTGGAGACAACATTCCCACTGAATGCTTGCCTCTGTTTGCGATGTGCGAGTGGGACAGCTTTACACCCATGAAACTGACAAAAAAGGACTGTCCAAATGTCTTGGGTCAACTTAGAGCGCTGGCAAATTGCAAAAAAGACACAAACATCGTAAAATATCGTAAAATATGGCCTCGTGTTCCAAGATTCAAACCATGACTCCTGAAAACATCACCCAGTAGTATAACGTTTTAGTAGAATCACGTTGAAGAGTCAAGCCGCAACAATCCACAATATACATCAATATCAGTATATATATATATACATAGAGATTGGAATGGCGGAGGCCTTCCGGGTTTTGGTGTACCCAGGCATGAAGAAACTCATTCTTGAAATAAGACCAATTTTTGATGGGCTTTGGGTTCTCGTCTTGGGCCTTCGTGAGCTTTACCAGAGGGATGTAGACTGCCGAGAGAGGGGGGAATGGGTCCACCGCATGAATGCCCTGCCCTACGCATACTGCTGTAGGAGATGAAGGGAAAAGGACACAGGGAAGATCCAGCTGCTGCTCAGTCCTGGTCCTGTCTATTGTTCTATGATGCTCTATGCCTATTTGAGACTATTTCAGAACCTCTTCCCAAGTCAAGGTTCCTGGCCTATAATAGTGTGTAGTAGTACATACTGAATACATCAGCATTCCATTCTGTGGCAAAGATATCAAGATTGTGCTTGAAACAGTTTTGCAGCCGGGTCTTGGGTCATGGTCTATGAACAGCAATTGCAAGGCTTTTGCGGATTCTAGCCTGCACAATGCTCACTATCAAAAACTGTTCAAAAAGAGGACTACTTATTCAATATACGCGTGTGGATTGGAGAGCAAAGGCGTGTGCCATATTGTGCTATAGATACTCGCTGGTGCTTTGACTTTGCAGTGAACACATGTCCGAAAGATCGAAAGAAAATAAGAATCATCCGTTGAGGGCACTAGCGAGTGTCGAAGACGCTTTGCATATCTTTATTTTACTTGCAATTGCTGCAAACGAAAACATCGCAAACTCGCACTACGAAACAAAACAGAACACTGGGGCAGTAAACATTTGAAGCCTGAAAAGAGAACCGGATTTTGCCGATAAATATGATAAATATCTGCACAACTAGACACCTCCTATATATATATATCTATTGATCTATCTATGCATCCAATCTATCCTAATCTAGTCAAACCTAGCGCAATCATGCACAATCTATCTATGAACCACGCCTAGCCTTTGGCAGAATGGAGCGGCATTATCACTAGAATCAGAGGAATTCCGAGGGGGCGACTCAACAAGGCAAATGAAAACAACATGAAGTTACCACAATGACTCCAATGACCTCGCTTGACCCTAGAGATTGACAGGGAGAAATCGAGAAAAAAACTGATTTCAAACCAATTCGAATTCAAACAAACCGAACCAACAGAACCAAGATAAATCACTTCAAAATATTCGAACTCCAAGAGGCTGATGCAGTTCATAGGCGATGAGGAAAACATTGCAACTGGTATCCACATCCCTATGACAAAGGCGCCAAGAAACTGACGTCCCACTTTCCGTATCAGCCGTTTGGACTGTGCGGCTAGGCTCTCACAATCTAAAACCAGGAAGACGGTCAGTATGCTGTAGAGAGATTCCAATGACGATAATAATCCTCGGGATTTCCGGTGCTAAGATTCTTGCAACCCGAAAAAAAATTCCAAAACGTCACGAGACTTGCTCCTGTGCCAATCCTGAATCGCTTGCACGGGACCAGCTTAACATGGCTTAACACTTTTTCACAGAATCACACGCGTTACAACCAATTACTGCTCTATATGATATGCGTTTCTTGAGGGAAATATGCAGATGTACCACCCATTGAAGCTCAAATGCAACCTTGCAACGTAGACGACCTGGGTCACATGTAAACTGGGGATTGCCCCGCTGTCTGGGGCTGTGATGCGCTTTCATTGGCAACTACATCTACGCCACTAGAGGATGTAGTCACAAGGCTAACAGTGCAGTTCCTCACAACAGATTCTATGCCTGTGCAATTCTACGTGTGTGTATATATATCTCTATATGTATTTATATATATATAATGCGGGCTACCCTGGGTAAAATCACTAGGGTGACCCCCCAAAATAATTTCTGGGATTTATTCTGAGGTGCTTCTAGTACATAACCCACTACAAAATATTTTTTCCAAAACACTCTAACCACCCCAAAATAATATCCTTTATCACTACCCACCTCCTCAAAATAATTTCTGAAAATTTGCAAATAAATTATTTTGTAGGGTTCTACTATTACTCAAAAACACTTCCCTTAGTTCAAAATAATTTTGGAAATTATTTCAAGGTGGTTTAAGATGGTTTTGGATGATTGAAAAAACAAGTAGAACCACCTCAAAATAATTAGCAAAAATCCCCACAAAATTATTTTGGGGGGTCACCCTACCTATCCTCCCGAATGCACCCGACAAGCATTGTCGGAATTTCATGATTTAGACCATCGATTTTTGGACAAAGAAATCTGAATCGACCCCTTCCTACCCCATAAATTATTTTGGGGGTGGTTAACTACTAAACCACCCCAGAAATAATAATAGCCTAAACTGGCAAAATTAACTTCCCATTGAGTAGTTCAAAATCCAAATTGCCTCGAACAGACAAACCCTGAGATTTACCATGAATTACTTGCTGAACTAATTATTTTTTAGAACATCGACTTAGCATCGGCTTTTGGGCAAAGAAACCTGAATCGATTCCTCTCTCCCCAAAAATTATTTTGGGGGTGGTTAACTACTAGACCACCCCAGAAATCCAAAATAACCTAACCTTGCAAAACTCAACTTCCCTGGAATAGGTCAAAAATGCCAAACCTGATCCAAATTGACCCAAACTGTCTGAAAGAATCAAACCATGAGAACCTAATTATTTTGGGGGTGGTTAACTACTAAACCACCTATGATTTAGACCATCGATTTTTGGACAAAGAAATCTGAATCGACCCCTTCCTACCCCATAAATTATTTTGGGGGTGGTTAACTACTAAACCACCCCAGAAATAATAATAGCCTAAACTGGCAAAATTAACTTCCCATTGAGTAGTTCAAAATCCAAATTGCCTCGAACAGACAAGCCCTGAGATTTACCATGAATTACTGGCTGAACTAATTATTTTTTAGAACATCGACTTAGCATCGGCTTTTGGGCAAAGAAACCTGAATCGATTCCTCTCTCCCCAAAAATTATTTTGGGGGTGGTTAACTACTAGACCACCCCAGAAATCCAAAAAAACCTAACCTTGCAAAACTCAACTTCCCTGGGATGTGTTGGGATTGACGGGATGTGGCTTGAATGAAGTTGGAAATGGCTGCAGATTGATTCAAAGAATATCCTGACTGAACATGTTGAAATATGTAGTTGAAATTTGATGTAATATGCTGAAATTATTTTGCAGGTGGTTTGCAAGTACCCCCACCCCATGAAATAATTTTCATCATGGGTGTCTGGTAATTATTTTATACAGTTGGAACTATATGAAATAATTTCCCCAGTTCAACTGAGAAATTATTTTGAGGTGCCTTAAGTTGTTTGTTTAAAATTATTTCAAGGTGCTTCAACCTCTGTAGGTGGAAAATTATTTTGCACCATCATCAAGGTACGGGTGCAAAAATTATTTTGCTATGGCTCTTGTCGGGTGATTTTAACATAAAATTTATGTTAAAAATTGGAAATTATTTTTAAAAAACTATTTTGGAACCAACCCCCACCTCAAAATAATTTCCTAAGGTAGGACGCATTATATATATATATATAAAGAGAAAAACCGCCTTTTTTCGATCCGCTTCACAGCAAGATGGTCGATGAAACTACAGCATTCGGGTCACTAAACCACGACAAAAACGATCCCCCTCCCGGTACAATCCTTCCACTGTACCAAAGAGCCCCAAGGATCGATGTTAAATTGTTTGGATACGCCCCTAGGGGCTGGCCAGTCCCTAGCGCCCTAGGACAACAGGGTTCCTATGATCTCCTCTTTGAGTTCCTTGCCCTCCTGGGCTTTCTTTTGTCCAAATTTCGACCCTTCTTTGCCTTTAAGGCCTTCTTACAGCTGCTGGTTCAAGAGGGGAGTGAAACAGGGGGGGAAGGGAGCTTGAACCAAAGCCTACAGGATCGAAGCAGGTTATTTTAGCAAAGAGAAAAACCGCCTTTTTTCGATCCGCTTCACAGCAAGATGGTCGATGAAACTACAGCATTCGGGTCACTAAACCACGACAAAAACGATCCCCCTCCCGGTACAATCCTTCCACAGTACCAAAGAGCCCCAAGGATCGATGTTAAATTGTTTGGATACCCCCCTAGGGGCTGGCCAGTCCCTAGCGCCCTAGGACAACAGGGTTCCTATGATCTCCTCTTTGAGTTCCTTGCCCTCCTGGGCTTTCTTTTGTCCAAATTTCGACCCTTCTTTGCCTTTAAGGCCTTCTTACCACGTCCCCCTGTCCTGCCTTTAGGCGGCTCAAGGGTTTGGTAATGCAGGGGGTTAGAACGAAGTAAGGTTAAGTGAAACGGTGAAAGACGGGCTTGGTGAGGTTTAAAGTGCATTTCTGCCAGGGTTGCCAAACTTTCATTCAAATAAAGGCGGGCCGTCCGAGCAGCTTGCCAAGGTCCCATGACCATGACACGGTCCAAACTATTGTATTTTGAAAAATACCAAGTGGCACCTCCTCTTCTGAGGGAATATGGGCGAAAATCAAAATCTCCCAGTTTGAGCTGTTTGATACCCTGGGCAAAGGTAGTACGCCATTGGGCTGCAGAGGAACAAAACCGCTGGTGATGGGAAGACAATTCCATCCACCGCCGAAGAAAGCGCAAGGCGAGATCATGCGTCAGGGTTGCGCTTTCAGCAATACCCATTCGTTTCGCGCCTTTGGTGTAGCCCAGGGTGATAACGGCCACCCCGCTCTGTACGGAAAAGGAGATATGGTGTTTTTCGATTGTCAGTAGTTCTCCGGTCCTGAGAATTGAGTAAAAACCTACAAGCAAACTGACAGCAAAGCTGAAGTTCTGTTGCGTCAGTGCCCATCCCACCAGACAATGCAGGATATACTCGGGGAACGGTGGTGCGCGGGATGGGGTCTCGTGGGTATGCCACGTCTTTAATAAGCGCCAAGAAGTCTGTAATTGGCCTTTTAGCCGGGGATCTTGGTCTTGAAGAGCGGCCAGGGTATCCGAGGCCAACCCTCGCCCCGCTCCTGAGATCCAAAGGTGCTCCATGTATTCGGCTGCTAAGGCGTCAATGCGATCGCGTTGACGGGGAAGATCAAGTCGGTTGTCCTTGAGGAATTGCAGGAAAGCCTGCAAGGCTTTGTCATACCGTGCCCGAGTAGCGGGTTGTACCGTGAGTTGTCGCAGTGTACCTAACTCTTGCCTTTGCTTCGCTCGCAACCGCGGGTTACGATTTTCAACGACGACTTTTGGCATTCCGAAATTTGGTTCGGACCGCCCAGCGACTTGGTTTGTCTGCTGGGTTCTGGTCCGTATGGACGTAACCCCAAACAGGGGAGACCCCCGATGCGAGCAGCAAAGCATTGAGACGGCACACACAGCGACGTAGCTTTTTGGATGAGCTTCTCCCTCTACACACGGTATGTAAACAAACTAGAGAGTCAGTCAAATGCAAGAGTTTGCAATGGAAATCCCCAAGCTTTTCAATGCGCCAACGCAAGGTGGCTTCCAAAGCACGCAACTCCAAACAATTGATGTGCTCTCGCCCTAATTTCCATTTCCAACCAGCGATGATCTTCCAGCGCCATAACTTCGCAGGAACCGTTTGACGGAGTCGTTGATAGGCTCCCACCTGATCAGAGGTAGAGATGAGGAGTATATCTTCTCCCTTCGCGCTTACCAACCGAGAAAGCAATTGCTCCAGACGGTTGGAAGGCAACGGCTCGGACATGGTTCCAACCACGGGTCGAAGAAGACGACGAGTGAGCCTTGACATGACATCCAAAGTCTTTGACGGATCCAAACGATCCATAAGTTGCTGAGGCGTCGCAGTTTCCGCTAGTCCCAATGGGGCCAGCAGCTGTGCTAGCAACCACCCAACCACCGGGACATTCCAAGCGTTTCCTACCAGGGAATGCCTGAGGTCCAAGTGAGCCACACCTTTCCTTTGCGACTTTGGGAGGCATGGATTAGTGTAACCCAAAGGCAACCCCATCATAAGCTCCTTCTCTTCCACGGTGGGCAGACGCAAAGCGCCTTGCCGGTTCACGACACAGTTTACAGGTAGATATTGGTATGGTGGGTACCTGAATTTGTCCTCTTCCCACCGCTTCAGCGTCTCTGAGGTGGTGAAGGTAGGAAATGCACGGTCAGGGTCCACTTTTGTCCACCCCGGGCTGAGAAAGTTCTCCAGCGGGACCTCGGCAGTGAGATGCACTTGGCGCGGAGATTCCTGTATTTCCACACCTTCATGGGTTTCCAGTCCCCACGAAATCCAATAAAGACGCGGCCGCCTGCACCAAGTCATGTACTCAGAGTTAATCTCCCAGGGTTCATCCCCGAAACTGTTGCTCATGACATCCTTGTCTGAGGAATCCATGGATGATACAGACTCCATGATCACGTGGGTGGGACACCACGGAAAGTGCATTTGTAACAACGCCTTGATACGATCCACATGCACGAAAAGGCAACTCCGTTCATCATGTAGGGCTCCTCGACGACTGGCGTTCAACCCCGAGACCCCCTGACAGGGGGGCCCCGCACCCAGTAAAACCAGTTCCACTTGACCAAATTTCAGGGCCCATCCCTGAACGTGCTCGTCTGTGACGGCCACCACATCGTCAAGTAAAACCGCACCTGGAAAATGGTACTCCACCACTCGATGACCTTCGGGTTGTTTCTCGCGGAGATGTGCCCGGCGACGCTAGCTCCAATCAAGTCTAGTGCGACACGCAGACAGCCCACTCCATCAAACAACCCAACGCTGAGGACCTTCGGGCGGCCATCCAAGGGATTGCCCACAGGGCGAAGGCTTCCCCGAGCAACCATCTGTCCGGCAGGGCTCAACCCCGTAGAGCAACACATACCGCCCCCTGTAGTTGAAGCGTCGCTGCAGGTCACCTGAGATCTCATAGGTAACCGAAAGTCCATGCGGCACAACCCCACAAAACAGACACAACGTAGGATCTCCAGCTTGACCAGTGCAGGGATGGCCAACTTGTGACGCCCCGAATGGTTGAAAGACTCAATGAATTCCCAACACTTGTTCAGAGACCCCAAGATTTGACGTCGAAACATCGTGAAGTAAACCAGTCCTCCACAGATCACTTGCACTTGGCGTTGACTGCAGTGAGTGAGCTGGCAAAAGAATAGGGCCATGACCGTATACTTGACAAGTTTGTTCCCTTTCGGGTAAGCCACACCGCGGACACCGTCCACGATAGCGCCTTGAACTTCGGCAACAGCCTGTCTACTGACACTCTTCCCTGTATGCCGTGGCATTCCCACGCCTGCATATGCTCCGCGGAGACCTTCCACGTCTTCTGAAATGCTACCCTGCTGCTCCACCAAGACTTCCCTGGGAAATTTTTCCAACAAGTCGTAGTTGTCCAAATAGACCCGCCACGTGGAATCCGACGCTGGGAGTGGGAGATCCTTCCTAATCTCGCGACTTGGCAAATCCAGAGAAGGCATGGGCTTCGAGCGGCTCACAAGCACTCTGTGCACGTGTTGTGCAATACCCACCGAGTTGATGAAACCCATGGGCAATACCACAGAAGCAAGGTAGCAAGTTTCTGTGCACCCCACTGGCTGGAGACACCTAGGCGCCGCTCGATTGAAAGCGAGAAATGGTGCCCACGCATCCGGAAGACCTAGAGTGTAAAAGAAACATTTTACGTCCTCCGAGGATACAAGCAGCCCTTCGCTCGGCTCCAGCGAGAACGGATTCAATCCCAGCCAGTGTGGGAGTCCGGCGATATCTGCCGAGAGACCCAGACACAAAGAGTTCAGCGGCACTAAATTCATGATGAGGCGATAAAGGGGGAGACCATCACGCTCCTCACCCTTCTCAACCCCGAACAGGCCGTTGAGCAGGGGAACCCCCCGAACTTTAAACACTTCGGACTCAGGAATGACTTTGCAGACCTTAGCCCTGACCAGGTTCATGGCTACCTCAGGCCAGTCCTGTTCACTGACCATCACTCGGCTATTCTTTACAAGAGGCCAGTCTTCCACAGGCTTGAGAAACTCTGGGAAATGGTCCACGTAAAAACGGCATCCCTGTTCACATACATCCCTGAGCTTGACCGCGCCAATCTCTTTTGGCAAGGTAGGACCCACATTGGCCCAGCAAAAAGACCTGGCAGTTGTAACTTCCTCACCTTTATAGTCGATTGTACGACTCCTAAAAAAGTCAGCCCAATTAAACTCATCCACCGTGTCCCTTATTTCAAAAAGACGGTGAACATCATGCAAAAAACTCTCCAAAATGACGCAGTGAGACTGGGTGATTTCGACCTCATTAAAGATAGGGCCACCCCAATATGAGTTCAGGCCCAAACAAATGGCCAAAACCCATTCCACTTCCTCCATTCGAGCCGTTCCAAAAAAGGAGAAAATACGGTCCCTAGAAGTGGGGAGAGGAAAAATTGAAGAAGAAGTTCCCCCCCCGTGGACTGGCTGTGAAGCAAAACATCTAGGAACCTATTTTTAACAAGTTCCCCCATCTGCCCCAAGCAAAACATCTAGGAAACTCGGTTCGGACGCTGCAAAGTCCGTTGAAACTTCACCCCTCGTTGCCGAGCTGGCACTGGTGGCCATGTCAGAGCGTGTGCTCTGCTCTGGTGGCTCTGCACGGCTGGAAAAAATCCTCTTGTGAGACATAGGCCCAAAGTACCTAGGAAAAAACTCACTCATAGTCACGGCAGCCCTCATAGGTCGCACAGGGGTCTCCGCCCCCGAAGCCATCAGGGTCACACTGCTGGGCCCCCGCTTCCTTTCTTCGAATCCTCTGTCTTCTTGCCTTCTGCCTTCGACTTCCCTTTGCCCTTGGTGTTTTTCCCTTTGTAGTTCTGTCGGTCTTCGCGGGCTTCTGCTTTGCCCTTGCCTCCTGTGGCCTGGCTCTGGTATTGGGTGCCCCCAAAAGCTCTCACCTCCTGGTTGCGCTCCCTGTTGATGATGGCCACCTCTTGACGGCTGGGCAACAGTGAAGCTTCGCTGGGGATAACCTCCAGGCGTTGCGACACCTGGAAAGCCGTGCCACCAGCCTGCAACTCCAGCCCCTTGATGCGCTGGAGACTGATATCCAGCGCCCGGGGGATATTGCCCTCCAAAAGGCTGTCTATGACGCTGCAGTGCGTCAGCAGCTCTCTCGCCATGGCCCCACTGATGCGCCTCGAAAATACCTGGCGGAAATATCGGATCGTCTGGGGAGCCCACCCCCGGTTGCTGGAGGTGGGGTCTCCCATGTCCGCTGAGACCATGCGAGAGATGTCCCTCAGGGCTTCCCCCGCAAGAAGGCCAGGGAAGCGCTCCGACACTCCCCGAATCTTCAACTCGTCCCCGAAGAGCGGGGACTGGCTCCCCCGAAACCCCAGGTCCTGTGATTCCTCCGAGGACTCTGTGCCGCTGGAGCTGCTCTTTTTTCTTTTCATGAATCTCCTCGCCTTGCGGTGGATCCTTCTCCTGGTGCTTCCCGACAATGCCAGGGCCGTCCCCCGGAACATCATCTTCTGACTCACTACTCCAGCTTCTGTATTGTTGGATGAACTTGAGCTGCTGCGTCTCGGGGTCTTCGCCCCCGGAACAGGGGGAACCCCCGATTTCTCCTCTCCTGGACTTCGATCTCGGGCTCCTCGGGGAACCTCCTTCCTCTTCTGTCGTCCTGGACTGCTGGACACGCTGCGACCTCGTCTCTTCCGCTCCTTTGACTTCCGTCTTCCTTCTGACCTGTCGCGGCTCTTCTTTCTCTTCTTTTTCTTTTTCCGATCTCCTCTCTTCTCGCTCCTCTCTCTCAGGGCTTCTTCCCCGACTCCTGTCCTGGCCTCCAACTTCTTCAGACGAAGACGAAGTGCCGCGTTCTCGTCCTCCAGTCCTGCTGGTACTGCTGGTCTCAGGTTCGTGGCCCACCCCACGGCCTCCACTTCGCCTTGGGTGGCTGCATGGCTCTCGGTGACGTGTATCAGTCCGTCGCCCTCCAACTCCATCTGGCAACCTGGAGGGCAGAGGTGCCACCGACTGGGACCGTCGGCTTGGCCGGCCCATTGAAGTAGAAGCTCTATGGTGGTGCCACTGAGCTTCACTTGAACCATCCTTCTGCCCTCTTCTCTCAGCTCTTCGATCACCTCCCCAGCCACCGTGCCGCGATGACTGTAATAGTGGGCTCCTGTGCCGATGATCCAATCTCCTTTCTTTAGAAGTCGAGGGTGTTGCTCGTCTGCCTCTGCTTTTGCGGGTCTCCTCAAAACTGCAGGGGCCCCGCCCCCGTTTGCCTTCACCATAGCAGGGGCTTGAGCTCGAGGTCGAACTCTGGCCCCCGGCCTTCTCATACCTTTCGGTGGCATTTCTACCACGACCAGGCGCCGCGTCCTCTGCCGCGGTCAAAGCCGTACTTTTCTCTGAACTCCTTGCCTCTGATGTAGTGGTTGTAACCTTTGTCTTTCTTCGGCTTGTCCCGGCGTATAGGTGATCGCTCCTGCCACTCCGGTTCAACTCCTCGTGTGTAGCCCGGTGGACTGCGGGTAGGCGACCTAGGGACTCTGGTGTCTCTTCTGGGCGGCGATGGGACGACGTCGTCTTTCCTTCGAGATGGACTCCTCCTATCGTCTCTGATAGGGCTCTCGTCTGTATCCTCAACTGCTGCCTTCGAGACCGCTAAATCTTTCTCTTCTTCTTCTTCTTCTTTTACTGCAACGGCTTCCTCTGGTTCACTCTTCTTGTCTCTCCTCCTCCTGTCTCTACTCCTGTCCTTGCTGCGCCTCCTCCCGTGGCGTTTGCGGGATCTGTCTTTCTTTTCTTTTTGCTCCTCGACCTATACTCCGAGGCCTTTTCAGGGACTGTCCCCGGCTCTCTGCTCGCTTCCTTTCTCCTCTCGCGATTTTCGGGGAGCTCCCCGCTTTCTCTCCTGGGCCGGGCTGAGGAGCTCTTGGCCACAGGGGTCAACCCCGGCAAGTTCGACTCAGGTGGATCAGCCGCAGATCCCCCGACAGAGGCGCCCAGGGCCTGATTCAATTCCCACTCTTCCACAAAAGCCTCGACCTTGTCAGCCGTACGCGTGAGCAGCTTGACCAAAGTAGCAACCTCTGCAGGCGGGTGTCGAGTGAGAATCACCCGAGTTAAGCGCTGCAAAGTATGGCAAACCTCACAGCGCCCCGAGTGGAAGGAGGGGAGATTGAATCGGCCCCTGCAATGACTACAACTCATTCAGCTTGAACCAAAGCCTACAGGATCGAAGCAGGTTATTTTACTCTTTACCCCCGGGGTCGGGTTAGCATATATATATATATATATACATGTGCGTTCCCATACCAGTAGCTTGGGTGTGGTACTGGTATGGTCTATGAGCCCAGGCGCTGTCTGAGAATGCGATCTAGAGAGGTCTAGAGTCCAACCTAAGCCAAACATAGTTACATTTACACATACATCATCATACATCCCCATCAAGCTAAATCTAAATCTATCTAAATCTATGTTGTTCTAGCTTCAGATACACCAGCTGTTTAGGCTGTTTAAGGACCTCAGCCAAGCCGCGTTCCCGAAGCAGCTTGCAAAGGAAGGGATCCGCGGGCCACAAGAGTTGATTCATCGCATCTGCGATGATGAAAAAGGGGAAGTCACTAGTCATGTGGATGCACAAGGTGTTCCAAAGTGCCATCATCCTTATGAAGTCGATGGCATTCAGTGGCTTGGAACTATATGAACTATGAGGGTCTTGTCTGTCGTTGTAGTTCTGTGATGTCACCCTCGGAGCTGAGCTATGGAAGAGATTCAGTAGCCGAGGCAAAATCATTAGTGAAAGACTTACAATTGCAGCTGGCCAAATGGAAGGTCTTCCACGGTGTTGACATGAATCACCGTGATGGAATCGGTGTACTTTGACTTTGTGGAGCATGAACGGGCTGTCCCCGAGCCTCTGATCCATGATGTGTGGAACAATTTGAAGCGCCACATCACCATGGCTGCAATTGCTGGGCACCGCCAGGACCAGTCGGTGTTCTGACATCACCCTGGTATTCGACACCAAAATCATGGCCACTGCATAGATTTTACACCGCGGTGGCAAGCATAAAGAGCAGTCAATATCCTGAAGTGTTCGCAAGAGAGTGTCTTGAAGTGGATACTCTCCGACTTTTTGGTACATGTGTGGATCTTGAGCCTGTTGACAGGTGCCAAACGTTTCATCCAAATCAAAGATCCCAACACACGTGTTGACAGACTTGTGCACCAGAGAATCTCCATTCTGTCCTGCTCCCCGGAGTTCCTCCTTGAGAAGTCCTATTGCTGCACTTGTGAAATACAAGGTGCCCTCAAGCTCAAGCTCATTGCCTTCGGTGAATGCACCCACTGCATTTTGGATGACTGTGAAAGGAGGTGATAATGGATGGCTATCACAAAGCATGGCAGTAGCAGTTTCGATTTCACACCCCTTCCCAGGCCTGCAGTGAAACCAAAAGGTTGCACAGTTCTGTGTCAGCCCACAGCAATACTGCAAAGAAAAATCCACGGTTGCCATTGGCATGCTGGTGCTTCGCACATCAATCACAGAATCCGCTTGCTCCACTTGATTTCCTGGCTGCGCTTCTGCAGTGGTATCGTTTTTTTTCCTGCCTGCTTGAGCGCCTTATTGTCTTCTTGGACTTCTGTACTGTGTTCCGGTGGCTGCAAGCAGCATGACTCGAAAGTATATGTTGAGTCCCAGCACCGTGTTAAGCCTCGTGGTCCAAATCTCTCAATGTCGCAACACGTAGGTCCCGTTTCAGCAGGCAGCCCAATGAAGCATTTCTCGACTGGCACCAGCTTCACAATGCTCCAGCCAGTGTTTACTTCATGGTCTTCAACAACTGTTCCAAGCTGCGGTGGCTGCAAGCAGCATGACTCGAAAGTGTAGGTGGAGTCCCAGCAATCTGTCAAGCCCTGTGGCCCAAATCCTTCAACGTCACAGCAAAGGGATCCCGTTCCAGCCGGCAGCCCGGCGAAGCATTTCTTCACCGGCACCAAGTGTGAAGCGGCCCACACGGGATAGGTCGCAATGCAAAACAATGCAATGATGTGCCATGTGCCGTCCATCAGGACCTAGCTATGAGCTCTGATGACCCTCTGGATCTGAACCACTCAAGGAACGTTGCTTTGAAATGCAAAACACCGCACAAGAAGTGCAAAACAACTATCCCAAATCCCAACCACTCTGCAATTTTTATCAAATTTCTCAACTTGGAAGGCTCCCTTCTCTGCAAAGGCCCCTTCACCATGTCTTAATGCACACTGTCTCACCATGTCTTTACCAAACTGCCCATTTCACGGGGCCTCCTGGGCATTCACTCGAAGCTGCCGACGTGATGCCACTTGTGCTTCTCGGCTCCAGTCACTGAAGACGGCACCAAGCACCTCGCTGCGTTGATGCGGAGCCCACGTGACTCAGGGCAGGCTGCTGAATGAGGAACCTCCAAAAGTGATGAACATGTAGAAAAAAACATGTACATGGATAGAAGTGAATATGTTCTGAGATGTTTTTTGGTGCACATGTATATATATATATATATCATATATATATATATATGTACATATGCATACACACATATGCGTTGTAATAAGTGTGTATGACCAGCTTGCTACATATTGGAGATGCCATATGTGCGATGAGAAACGTGTAAATGTCGAATTTTCACACATGTTCCGCATTTTTTTTTGCATTCGAGAAATCAACTGATGCAGGCTGTTTCCTCAGATTAAGGCGTGCATCTGAAGTTGATGCGATCGGGCAGATGCCCGTGCCTGTGCGCATGGCATGGCAATGGCCCCTGCAGTGGTCATGGATTCGGCCGCAGCCTGAAGTAAACGATGGCTGGCTTGTAATTGCAAGGCAGTGAGGTTCCATGCCTAGGTCAGCCAGCCAGGAAGAAAGTTCCGTGCTGAAGGGGAACTATGTGCATTGGCAGCTTTGAGCTCGCAGCCAGGAATATTTGATGGGCTTCCTTGGCATTTTTATTCTCTACAAAGGCACCGAATTGCTGGATGGAAAGACAGAACGTGTTGCTGTTCATAGTCTCTCACTGCTTTTGGGTGCCCGCCTGTCTGCCAAGCTCCTTGTGGCGCATGGAGCACATTGCCTCTCAGCCAAGGGCTGAAGCAATGGGTTGGGAAGGAGAGAAAACTAAGTAACTTCGAGAATCTTCAAATTTGTATTGTTAGCATCACCATGATCCATTGCTTGGAAAAACCTTGCTTTCCCCTGCCTCTTGCAGACATATCATGCCAAACAACGCGGTCTTCACAATGTATACATATGTATACTGTGGCTGTGGAATGCGCCGCCGATCATCAGCCAGCCTTGGACAGTCGCTCGCCCACAAAGGTGCTGTTGGTCAGAAGCCGCCAGGCCTTAAGTGTACGTACAGCTGCGGAGGTAGTTCCCTGAAGATGATGGAACATGAGGTAACCAGGCAAACATGAGGTAAACATGGTACACACATCACATCAGATAAAACGGGATAAGTTTCCAGCATGAAAGCCACGGCATAGGGTGATGGGGACGGCCTCCAACGGCTTGGCAGGTTGAAGCCCAAGTGGCAGAAAATCAACGTCACCACAGGCAGCATGGAAACCTCCATCCATATACCGCTACAATCCGCTACATTGATGGATAAATTGGAGAGGTAGATAATGCTAGATAGTAGACAAATAGAACGATTGACGGATGGACACACACACACAACCAAAGAGATAAACACACAAACAAGTGCTCTAGGTACACATGAATCACATACACATGCAAGCAACCTGAGTCTCAGAGAGCTTCAATATGCTTCCAGCACCCTCCCCAACGGCCTCATTGGAACTCCTTCCCGTGGAACTCCTGGCGTTCAACATGACAACATGGCAGGTACTGGCAGGCCATGATATCTCACAATGCCAGGGCACGTGGAGCTGATCCCGGCATCTGCTGCATGGTTGGCAGCTTCCTGGCTAGATATGCTGTTATGGGCAAACGGATGTGGAAATGGCACCATGCATAATGACAACAGAATATCCACATGCAATACCATGTACAGTACTACACCGTATGAATCAATACACATGAATGCGATTGAATGCGTATGTATATAATTACACATGCATGCACATGCATCTACATCTACACATGCTTTTCTGTATAATGTACATACGTATGTATGTATAGAACAATCTGTTCAAGTACGAGTATGTATGTGACATGTCGTAGACTTGGCCCTTAACAAAAAACATGCCCGTAGTTTGCCTGGGGCTCAAAGTCTGAATCAGGCGAAGGACCATCTTTCCAGATTAGCACTGAACGCCTCCCGCATTTGTCCACCCCACAAATGGACCCTTGGATGAATCGGCACAAATCTTAGACTAAGATAAAATATGATGAAATGGCAGCATATGACAAGCCACAGCTTTCGAACATCCTTGGAGCTTTCTCGACATTGCATCTCTATGTGTCAATCAATCTTATTTTTTTTTCGGACTGCCTTAATCTCCGCAATGGCTCGTCAATGTCTTCCTCGTCCTTGTGCTGAGTACTGTGAGGTGGACATGTTCAAACATCTGAAAGGTGACATGACATGACATCAGGATTATCATGTTAAAATGTGGAATGCATTCACTTGTCCTGGGAGGTTGTCAAAGCCAATGCCCTCTTCTTTGCCTCTCAAGTAAGGTAATGATAGGAGCAGCAAAAAACACTCATTTTCCATTCATTGAACTGAATCCTCTCACGATCACACCATACAGCAACAGTCAGCAACGACATACCAGGAGTTGTTGGATAGGTTTGGCCATACTTGCCAGGGACTTGCCAATAGTCCAAACATGTCCTGGCTCCATCAACGGAATTCCGCCATGTTGGTGCAATCGCGCAATTGCCTCACTGCTGATATCGTTGAGGCCCAGCAGGAACTCTTTGCGTTGCTTCTCTTTGGGTCGATCCTTAGGATGTTCCCGCCCCCTGGGTGGCACCTAGGTGGCACCTGGTGATGGGAGCAATGACATGATGATACACACGAACATCATGAACATATATACGAAGATATCATACACATAATATAGAATTAGAAGATATATCAAGATATCATACAAATATAATCAAATATATATATATACATATATATACAAATTTCAAGTATCATCACATATCCATCGCCAGGGACAGGATACATGGTGTTTTGGGTGAAGTCAGTCTGATTCGACATCCCTTTCCCAATTTCTGAACAAGCGGCATAGACCAGAGCAAGCGCCATTGCAACATTACTGCTGTGGCAAGCTCCAAGTTGATATTTCACACAACACTCATTTCAAAGAATACTCAAGCAGGAAACAAACAGTGTATGCAAAGGTCAGCAGGTTCAACTATTAGACTTTGAATCACATCATACACAATGTGAGCACCTTCCTGCTTTCAATTTAGTGTCTGTCTACATGAGCAGCTGCTCAGCGCGTCTGCTGCTTCAAATCCATTCTCTGATATGCTTCGAGGAAGCAAATGTGTGTCAGTCAAACGTCTGTCAATGTCGTTGGATGTTGTTGGTCAGCAATGTGCAGCTCCTTCTGTAAGAAACAGTCTGAGTCTGAGTTTCTGCGCAGTCGGGAATGGGAGCCGTTGAACTGGTGACAGAACATGCGCGTCATCTGTTTACCCCTTTCCATCTCTTTACATCTCTTTACCACATAGCTCGCAAATGCACATTGAAGAGAACCATTTCGCCTCAGGGCCGCCAGGGCCCCTCCTCCTTTGTGAATGTTCCTGTCACCACGCACAAATTCTGCATGGCCGGTGGTCAGCTCCCATCAGCTCCCAATGATCTGCTTCCTTTCAACCGGCGGCAACTTTGTATCGGCAGCGGCTTCATGCGGCTTCAGAATGATGTCACTTCCAGTGGCTCAACCTGCATGATTTTGTAGATTCAAGTGAAGCCATGGATAGAAACATTGGCATCTAAGAAAATGGAACTCAAACACCTATGCAGGCTTGTTGAACTCGATTGAGATAATAAGTCTGCTTGTTTCAATCCGATCAACGAATGGACGGCAGCAGCTGAACCACATATAACTCCAACCCAAACTGAGTGTCCCACCGGTTATGAGGTAGGAAAGCCTTGCGATCAGCACATTATAAAGATGTGAATGGCCCATCTGGCCCATCCGAAATGCATCGAGTTGATCGTCTTTGACTGATGCATGCGACATTTTCATTTGCATCGTTGATCTGCCACGCTGCCACGCCCTGCCTTTTGCCACATAGCACGGAACATTGACTCTCGAGGCTTTTGAAGCGGTGTCGCACTCCAGTCGTGACCTGCGTTCAGAAACATATCGGCGAAACGCGAGGGACCTTTCGATGGCCACGTGTGGTTTTCGCGAGCACATCTGAGGTAGATGCCACGTATGAGCCTAAAGGATCCTAAAGGAGGCTGAAGTGACCTGACCATCAAACCAATCCGTTCAAAGTCCCACAACCGGCAACCCACCTTCGAGCGAACATCTTCCTGCAAAACACATCTGCAGCAAAGTTTGAACTCACCCTCAGTCGGAACACAGCAGTCATCATCAAAATGCATCAAAGACAGGGTCTTCTAGTTGAATCCTAACACAAGCTTGGTGGTTTCCAATCCCTCATCAATTCCTCACTCTTATGTCAACTTATATAGTTCTACAATGTCTGCACATATCTGCATTGATCTTGCAGCATTTTGTTCCTCTCCTGACTCGCAGAGCTCTCAGGGAGCAGAGATGCCTTAGGACTGGGCTGCTGTCACAGTTGGAACAATTCAGCAAGACGATATAGCAGTCACATCCAGTCAGTAGAAATGACACGAAATTAAAGATCACCATTTGAGAAATAGTGCGCAAATTCCAGGTTCAGTTGGAACAAGGGAAACCAGGGGGACATGGATGAGTGACGGGTATGTTACCAGTTGGATGCGGTAGTAGAGTGGGTCGGTTCTTGTGGACAGATTGCGGGCCACCATAGCAGCCACTGCAGTGCCTGCTTTGGCTTGGGGCCCGGACTTCAAAGTCTGCCTGAGCACGAAGCCGCGCAACACATCTTTCCTGCGGCTTTGGAAACAGGGTGCGGTTTTTAGCAGGTCATCCAAGACTTGTGAAGCCTGCTTGTCCTCCTCATCCCTGGGCTGAAAAAAAGGAACACACAATAAACACCGGGCTTCATCTGCTTCCTACTCAGTTCCCACTCCGCAGTAACATCGAGTTGGGACATGTTGGGACAGGCTGTGTGTTTGACTGAAACTGATATCATCCATGAAACATTCCGAAATCACCAGATGAACGGCACTGGTGTCCTCACATGCACGCCTTTGCTCCACGAAGACTTGCAACTGGTCCACTACTGGCGGCAAAGGCTTGCGCTTGCCTGCCATGTGGTGCATCTGGTGAATTCTGGTGACACAGTTCCCATCAGATGCGCTGTGAGCACTGGAACAGTGGGCCACCTGCAGAGGCCACCGATGCATGCAACTCCTGCAAGGCGCTGAGAGTTGGTATGGCTGGTGGGTGCACCACCCGACTGTCCTGGCCTGCACCGACTTGGGCCTGAGCGCTTCCAAGAAATCCTCAGCAAGGGTTGATCACTCCACAAGCTTCAAATGCCAGGATATGCCCTGTAGGTCAAGGTGGCATGGCTCGATTGGATCAATTTGGGTGTGTTCCTTCACCCTTGTTGGATTTTGTATGATTTTGTTGGATCATGGCAAGGCAGGTGCAAATCAATCTACGAATTTTCCGGAGAATTCGACATGCCAAGATCCGCACCGCATCGTTTCCCATAGACCTTTTTGGGGAGGTCTCACCAGCTCGGCTGTCGACCTAGCAGTCCTGATCTTTGATCGCCTGAAGGAATTTGTCTACGATCGTCGAAGGCATCATAGAAGGATTGCGGCTGGACTGAAAACATGGAAGGAACTAGTGGTATTCGAGGACTGTCTGTGACATACAATGATTTGATAGACAATTGGTATCAATTGGGGACGATTGGTTGATATTGGCTGCCTGTTTTTGCTTGCTCCTTTTGCATGCGAATGTCCAGCATCTTAGAGCCCAAATTGACACCAGGCAAAAACCAGCAAACACATGACAAAGACAAACATGAATAGTTCACCATCCTTACCACCGGCTTCCAAGGGCACCTTTGAACCGGTATGAGGTCGGCAATTGCAAATTCATGGGCAGAGCTGCCGAACTGCCTTGTACGTGAACGGCAATTTGACTTTGGCTGTGCATCACAAGTGCCAGACCGTGCCGGAGCTACAATAGGAGAGATGTATGCAGCTGCCAAATTCACCCAAGTTACAGTTAAAAATATTCAAAGGCAAAAAATGCCGGAATTTCAGCAGGATAAGCTACCACTATCGCCTAAAGCCAGAGATTCAGCTGCAAAAGCTCTGAGGCGTGCAAGTGCTGCAAGGGTGTACAGTGGCATACAATGGCGTATGGCCTCAGTGATAATGCCTTCTGGCAGCTCTGTAATACGGAGCAAATCGACTAGGAGATGCCCATGGCTGAACGACGTTCTCTTCGAAGTCATAGCTGTTCTCCATGGCCCATTCATAAAATACAGAGGTGCATCTTTCGGGGCTCCTTCCACACCCAAGATTTGCAAAAAATGGGTCAGGGCACGTCTTTGTGGTGCGTCGATTGTGATAGCTTTCCCGGCACGACCAAGGTCGAAGCCATAGAACTGGTGCATTTTCCACACAGAAGTCTGGCGAGTTACAATTCAAGTTCACCAATGCAGGTGCGCAGCCGCGCTCAAGGCTTGGGACCTTGCTGGTTTGATGAAAGAGGATCATGAGATAAAAAATGGGCACGCTTGAGATGCACCTCTCCAGATAATCTGGACAGAATGCAACAACGTCCAAAAACGACAACAAACAAATGTCAAAAGCGGAGAAACACGCAAAACAAGTGCCAATCAAATGGCTTCAATCAAGCAGAGAGCGTGCAAGATTGAACATTGACATTGATATTGGACTTATATAAATGGATTTACAGGAACCGACAGAATTATGGAAAAAAAACTTTTCAATTTACAGGCGCCGCCTGTCTATGATAGAAAAATTACGAACCTTTTTTTTTTCCATAATTATTTTTTCCATAATTATTTTTTTTCCATAATTCTGTCGGTGACTGTATGTCCATCGATTCGCAATTTGAATGCATTTTAAGAGGGAATATTGAATTATAGAAAATATGTGTCTAAAGATCTGGTATATGCCCCTAAGTCTTCCATAGTGGTACCAACAAAGGAAAAGCAATTGCACCACCAAAACTCATTGTTGTACGTACATACATATGCGGGATGTATCCTTTTGCCAAGCCACCAATTGGGTTGATACTACATACTTGCATTTGCATACATATTTCCATAACCCCCCAAAAAAAGGGGTTTGAATTGTGGATCCATGACATGTCCAACAGGTGGAGCCCCAAACATTAATTATGGAAAAAATAATTATGGAAAAAATAATTATGGAAAAAATAATTATGGAAAAACCGGTCAATCTGCCCTAGCCCCCTGATTTTACAGGAAAAATCAATTATGGAAATAATGGCCACCTCCAAGAATTATGGAAAAAAAAAAGGTTCGGATCACTTCCGGGATATTTTGAACCCTTATGGGGAAAAACCTAATTATGGAAAAATCGGACGCAGGCGCCGCCTGTCTAAGTTGAACGTTTTTTTTTCCATAATTCTGTCGGTGACCATAATTGGATCCAAGAGATTGGGCCAGATTTGTGGGGAATTCAGTGACAGGACCGCATGTTCTCCGTGTTTTGCCTTATGCCTATGCCTTGCACCTTGCGGCGAATATCGTAAAATCGACGAATATTGTGGTTACGTGTCCTTGCGTTTTTCCAAGCACCATCCAGCACTTGTCACTGTCTAAGACATACGGAATGACTATGAATGGCCATGACTAAATATAATATGAATGACTAACGTAAGAAACTGTGTGCATCTGTGTGCTGTCATCATTGTCATCTCCAGTCCAAGACACAAGAATCAGAATCACCAATCAATCCAATCAACACGCACACTGGCGGGAAGTTCTTGCATTGCGTACGGGAATCGCTTCTAAAATCTCTGAGTCTGAGATAGTCTCACTACATCTTACTATGATATTTCTCAAGCGATCCAAAGCAGGAGATGTTGAACCCGCAAGTTCTGACAAGCTGGGAAAGGTATGGAAAGGTTAAGAACATCGAGATGGCAACGCAAAATCAGCACCACAACGCCGCATGCAAAGTTCTCGGATAGCATCGGTTCTGTTAAGTTTCCTAGTGACCAATGGTGATCTATGGGTTCTCCTCTATTCTTGGGGCCAAAAGCACTTGATCCCTAGTCATCGCCAGTGCCGAAATAATGCCGAAATGTCAACTGTAAAACTGCTGAATATGAGTGAATCATCCAAAAACTCGGAACCATTCGGAACCAACACGTCGTCTCACTATTCAACCTGTTTCTCACTTCAATTCGTTTGAGTTCAACTATATACTATAGACATGCCTTTGGCGAAAATATCTGGCTCCAGACCCTGTATCATTGATGAAACACTTACATCTGAGTCAGCGCACAAACTACTGTAGCATGGTTTCCTAGCAACTACTTTGATACTTTGATTGTTTCAAGGATAGTTCTTTATGTGTATGCTGCACCTGTCGTTTGCAATGCGGACTAAGCCATCGGCATGAAGTCCTCCCTTGCCCAAGCTGGGGTGGAAACGAATCACGAAGAATTGTCCGCAAAGGCCGCTCTTCACCGAATCCAGATTGATGCTCTGCAGTTTCTCATTCTTCTGAATCCACACGCCAGTGTTGAGAATCTCCAGTTGCGGGAAGCTGATGCGTACCAACTTTGGATTGTGCGCAATCAAAATGGGCCTTGCTTCCTGTCCCCGCACTTGCCATCTGAATGCTCCTGTGTAGAGCCTGATATCTCTGCTGCCATCTCGTTCCCCGATCCGTGCGGTGCTGTTTCCAACCCTCCGCAAGGATGTCAAGTCGAAGTGGGTCAAGGCGAGATTGTCAGTGATCAGCATTCCACCACCCTCACGAGCAGCCACGTATTCCAACAATGGCAGCGTCACAGTCACCAGGTTGGGATTCCCGAAGAGTAGGAAATCTTCATCGATTCGACGAAGCTGCGGCACATCCAAGGATTGTAGCTGTGCACACAAATATACTTCGAAATCTTCGTCAACGTGCTCCAGATTCGGAAAGAAATCTTGGCCGAATTCCAAGATGGCTGTATTGTCAAAGAACTCCAGATCCTCACCAATGAGTTTCAACGATGCAAATCTGATGGCCGTCAAAGCGTCATTGGTGTAGAGCTCCAGATCCTCTCCAACTTGCATCAACTTCGGGAAAGAGATAGTTTCGAGGCTGTGGAGGACGTACATCTCCAAATCTTCGTCGATCTCCAGCAACTTGAGCATATTCAAACGTTCAAGTCTCCAGCAAAAGGATAGCACCAAATCCTCTCCAATCAGCTCCAAAGCTGGAAAGTCAATGGTTGTGACTTTGTTGAGCTGCCACATGCGAAGGTGAGATTTGGTTCTTCGCAGAAGTGGAAATTGGAAGATCTCCAAACCCGGGTTGGACGACAAGAAAACGCTGCCAGATTGGCTCAAAGCTGGAAGCTCCAGACTCTGCAAGGAACTCATGCCCTGCAAGGACAAGCGACCACCAACTTGCTCCAAAGCTGGGAAGTTGACTTCAGAGAGTGCCAGATTTCCCTGGATCACCAAATCCAAATCAACCTTCTCCAACCCAGGGGCAACTAATTGATTCAAAGCCACATTACCAGAAACGGCAATACTCCCATTCACCACAATCAACTGCTGCAAGTTGATGGTTTCAAGAAGTGGGCTCCATGAGATGGCCAAACATCCTTGGATGGACTTGAGCCGGTTGCCTGCTTTGACGCAAGTCACATCTTTGAGCAAAGGATCTTCAGAAGTCAGCAGAATGCTTCCCTCTATGGCCACACCTCCCATGGGATCCGGAACCGTTACGAAGGCCTGGCTCAGAACCAAGCAGCCATCAGCATCATAACATGTTGAACATGTTGACATTCCAGAGACCCTCGTAGCATATTGAGGGCACTGACCTTGGCGGCAAAAACCATCCAGGAAGTCAGCTTCCAAACCGGCATCTTCATCTGCGCATTCACATCCAAAGATTGCTCCCTCTGCATCTTCTACTGAAACCGTTCCGCCACCGCAGTTGGAGGTGGCCCAAACGGGTCCTGATGGACAGAAGCTTGGACCGTTTTGTGCCAGACTCCAAAATGTGGGCTCAGCTAAGAGTGGATTCAGCTCCAAGGTCGTCAAGGCTTCATTCTGAAAAACACCGAAGAGGCTGGTTAAGCTACAGGATACTGTCTGCTTGGGCACTTGGAACCTTGAGAGAAGAGGCAATTCTACTGAAAGAAGGGCGGCATTTCCGAAGATGGCGAAGTAGGGAGACCTGATTGAAACCAGACTCTCCATTCGTACATGCTCCAACCGGGTGTTGTTAGTGATATAGAATGCATTCTCCTCGTCCTCAACATCACAATCTCCGAGTCCATAGTGGCAGCTGCTCTGAGGTGGTGGATGGGATCTTGTTTTGCCCCCGACATGGGCAAGCTTAGGAAAATCCACTCTGAAAAGGTTGGGCATGTTGTAGAGCCAAAAGCTCCCCACCACTTTGGTCAGTTGCTGCATGGATAGGTCGGAAGCGACAGCCATCCCTCCTAGGATCAGATCTTCCCAAACAGTGTGCAATGAGGGCAGCGATAATGACTTCAAAGCATCAAGGTTGTACATTTCCAGGTCCTCCTCGATGTCTGACAACTTCGGCATGGAAATGGCTGAACAAACAGGCAAATTGTGAATCTCTACATCTTCCTTCACCTTTTGAAGAGAAGGCATTGAAACTGAGCCAAGGGAGTAGCAATGGTGAACCTCAAAATCTTCTCCAATCACTTCCAGAGCAGGAAGGGTCAGACTCTGAAGTCGCACCAAGTGAAAAAACTCTGTATCTTCACCTACGAAGGAAAGCACTGGGAGTCGAATGGATCTCAGGTCATCCATGACGTAGACGACCAGGTCTTCCCCAATCTTTTTCAGGGAAGGAAAGTCAATTTCCTGCAGGCCACTGCTACCAATGATGAGGTCCCATCTGATCTCTTCCAGGGAGGTGGCTCCGATCAGCTCCAAAACAGGGTTGCTGTCGATCAGTAGGTGCAAACCGACAAAGGTAAGGCTGTTGAAGGAGACTCTTTCCAAGACCCGGTTGCTCCCGACCTCAAGGGTCCTGTCAACCTTTTGCAAATGTGTAAACGTCACAGTGGATAATGCTTCATTGTGCCGCACCACCAAGTTCTCATTCACACTTTTCAACCCATCCAAACGGAAAGTCTCTGTCACAAGCTTGGGAAGCTGCATAAAAACGAGGGAACCCTGAACTCTCTCAAGTTTCGGCAGCAAAATGCTCGTGAGCGACAAAGCACCTGTAACTGAGAGGCTTCCCACGATCTCTGTCACCTTCCTGGAGGCAATGCATTTCACATCGCTGGGACCAGCGTTGCCTCCAGGACCAAAGCGCAGTGTCGCGATGAGTACACCATTGGAGTCAACATGAAAATGGTTCTCCAAAAGGAAACAGTACGAGGGAAAATTCATTCCCTGGGTCTGCAACAATTGCGCAGTGCCTGGGAGGGTCTCATTACCAAATCCTGCATGTCCTGTCCCCTGCATGTTCGCGCCCGAATGCTCACCAGCCACTCCCAAAAATATGCTTTGACAGGAAATCCACCAAACAAGCCAGAAGGGAACGAAGCGAAACGGATGTCCATTCTTGTGCTGCTTGACCAAATCTCCAAATTGGGTCAATCCAAAACCAAGGTGAAGGGACGCAGTGTCAGCTCTTCCATATTCAGACCCACTCGCCATAAGGTGAACCTGGCTTGCAAAAAACACATCACAAACCGTGAGCACTTGAAAAATAGTGTCCTTTTCCAGTGAAAAGAAAGGTGCTTACTTACGTTTATACATGATACATTACATAATCAACATATAATCTGAAAGTTCGGAGGAATTCTGAATGAAGCCTCTCTGTGGTGCCATAACTTGCACATACTTGCACCATTATGCTTCATGGCCTGCGAGCTGCAGTTCCAAATCAGCCAGAATGACCAACGAGGGCAACTGTGTCCCGAGCTGCGATGAAAATGGGATACCCCAATACCGAATGATGCTATACAATCTACAGCGAAAGCCACGTGCTAATACCACTAATCTCGAGTCTCGAGTCGATAGATCAATCAATGTTGGTCCGAGATTCACTGCATAGCACTTCTACCCTGGATAATGGTGTTTCGAATGCAAATGCAACCTTTGATGTTCTTTTTCTGGGGAGGCGACTTCCACGCAAGTGTGCTGTCTTTCTTAGAGCCAGCTACGTCGGCTTGTTCATGGCATGTTAAGATGCATGATGCATCCCTAAAGCAAAGTACAACGTCCGAAACCATCCGAAACCCAGCAGAGCCGCACAGGGCTGATAACTATTGAATACTATTGATAACTGGTTCATGATATTTCAGGATAGTTCATGCAGCGAAAGCCAACTTCGTCAACTTTTTTCGCTGTTATGCTCCATCACAGGGACCTGCACAAAGAAAACGTCGTGACATGTTATGCAAGGCCGTGTCAAACCCAAGCATGACTCATGCACAACCCGACTGTCCTGGCCTGCACGGACTGCCTACGATCGCAAAGGAAATAACGGAGGGATTGACGCTAGACTGAACACATGGAAGGAACATGAAGGAACTAATTGTACTCAATGAATTTCAATGAATTTCAATGATATACGATTGGTTGATATTGGCTGCCTGTTTTTGCTTGCTCCTTTTGCATGCGAATGTCCAGCATCTTAGAGCCCAAAAATATGGCAGCTCGCAAAAATCCCACAGCTATCGGTTGGTTTCACCTGCAAGTCGGAACAGAGACAATGCCAGCATTTGGACCGATCCCTGGCATGAACAAGGCATGTATGAATATAACACGCGCCCACATTATATATATATATATATTATATATATATACACACCTGATATTGCACCTATGATACCCACAGGAACACAAAATTTGCAAAAACCCGACATCGAATAAACAGTTGACCATTGACACCAGGCAAAAACCAGCAAACACATGACAAAGACAAACATGAATAGTTCACCATCCTTACCACCGGCTTCCAAGGGCACCTTTGAACCGGTATGAGGTCGACACTTGCAAATTCATGGGCAGAGCTGCCGAACTGCCTTGTACGTGAACGGCAATTTCCCGCTGTGCATCAAAAGTGCCAGACCGTGCCGGAGCTACACTAGGAGCTGTATGTTAAAACTGTTTAAAGTTTAAAGATATTCAAAGGCAAAAGCTGCGGGCTGTACACTCTACACTGCAGCAGCCACGGTGTGGGAGTACCCCTGGAATCTCAGCAGGATAAGCTACCACTATCGCCTAAAGCATCCTAAAGCCAGAGATTCAGCTGCAAAAGCTCTGAGGCGTGCAAGTGCTGCAAGGGTGTACAGTGGCATACAATGGCGTATGGCCTCAGGGATCATGCCTTCTGGCAGCTCTGTAATACGGAGCAAATCGACTAGGAGATACCCATGGCTGAACGACGTTCTCTTCGAAGTCATAGCTGTTCTCCATGGCCCAGTCATAAAATACAGAGGTGCATCTTTCGGGGCTCCTTCCACACCCAAGATTTGCAAAAAATGGGTCAGGGCACGTCTTCGTGGTGCGTCGAAGGTGATAGCTTTCCCGGCACGACCAAGGTCGAAGCCATAGAACTGGTGCATTTTCCACACAGAAGTCTGGCGAGTTGCAATTCAAGTTCACCAATGCAGGTGCGCAGCCGCGCTCAAGGCTTGGGACCTTGCTGGTTTGATGAAAGAGGATCATGAGATAAAAAAGGGGCACGCTTGAGATGCACCTCTCCAGATAATCTGGACAGAATGCAACAACGTCCAAAAGACAACAAACACATGTCAAAAGTGGAGAAACATGCAAAACAAGTGACAATCAAATGACTTCAATCAAGCAGAGAGCGTGCAAGATTGAACCTTGATATTGATATTGGATTTATATAAATGGATTTAATTGGATCCAAGAGATTGGACAAGATTTGTGGGGAATTCAGTGACAGGACCGCATGTTTTCCGTGTTTTGCCTTATGCCTATGCCTTGCACCTTGCGACGAATATCGTAAAATCGACGAATATTGTGGTTACGTGTCCTTGCGTTTTTCCAAGCACCATCCAGCACTTGTCACTGTCTAAGACATACGGAATGACTATGAATGGCTATGACTAATTATACTATATTATAATATGATATAATATGAATATGAATGACTAACGTAAGAAACTGTGTGCATCTGTGTGCTGTCATCATTGTCATCTCCAGTCCAAGACACAAGAATCAGAATCACCAATCAATCCAATCAACACGCACACTGGCGGGAAGTTCTTGCATTGCGTACGGGAATCGCTTCTAAAATCTCTGAGTCTGAGATAGTCTCACTACATCTTACTATGATATTTCTCAAGCGATCCAAAGCAGGAGATGTTGAACCCGCAAGTTCTGACAAGCTGGGAAAGGTATGGAAAGGTTAAGAACATCGAGATGGCAACGCAAAATCAGCACCACAACGCCGCATGCAAAGTTCTCGGATAGCATCGGTTCTGTTAAGTTTCCTAGTGACCAATGGTGGTACTGAAATCATCTGAAATCTATGGGTTCTCCTCTATTCTTGGGGTCAAAAGGCACTTGATCCCTACTCATCGCCCAGTGCCGAAATGTCAACTGTAAAACTGCAGTGTGAATCATCCAAAAACTCGGAACCAACACGTCGTCTCACTGTTTAACCTGTTTCTCACTTCAATTCGTTTGACTTCAACTATAGACTATAGACATGCCTTTGTCGAAACATGTCGAAAATATCCGGTACGGTATCATGTGACTGAAACACTTACATCCGAGTCAGACACAAACTACTGTAGCATGGTTTCCCAGCAACTACTTTGATTGTTTTAAATATTCAAGGATAGTTCTTTAATGTTCTTTATGTGTATGCTGCACCTGTCGTTTGCAATGCGGACTAAGCCATCGGCATGAAGTCCTCCCTTGCCCAAGCTGGGGTGGAAACGAATCACGAAGAATTGTCCGCAAAGGCCGCTCTTCACCGAATCCAGATTGATGCTCTGCAGTTTCTCATTCTTCTGAATCCACACGCCAGTGTTGAGAATCTCCAGTTGCGGGAAGCTGATGCGTACCAACTTTGGATTGTGCGCAATCAAAATGGGCCTTGCTTCTTGTCCCCGCACTTGCCATGCTCCTGTGTAGAGCCTGATATCTCTGCTGCCATCTCGTTCCCCGATCCGCGCAGTGCTGTTTCCAACCCTCCGCAAGGATGTCAAGTCGAAGTGGGTCAAGGCGAGATTGTCAGTGATCAGCATTCCACCACCCTCACGAGCAGCCACGTATTCCAACAACGGCAGCGTCACAGTCACCAGGTTGGGATTCCCGAAGAGTAGGAAATCTTCATCGATTCGACGAAGCTGCGGCACATCCAAGGATTGTAGCTGTGCACACAAATATACTTCGAAATCTTCGTCAACGTGCTCCAGATTCGGAAAGAAATCTTGGCCGAATTCCAAGATGGCTGTATTGTCAAAGAACTCCAGATCCTCACCAATGAGTTTCAACGATGCAAATCTGATGGCCGTCAAAGCGTCATTGGTGTAGAGCTCCAGATCCTCTCCAACTTGCATCAACTTCGGGAAAGAGATAGTTTCGAGGCTGTGGAGGACGTACATCTCCAGATCTTCGTCGATCTCCAGCAACTTGAGCATATTCAAACGTTCAAGTCTCCAGCAAAAGGATAGCACCAAATCCTCTCCAATCCGCTCCAAAGCTGGAAAGTCAATGGTTGTGACTTTGTTGAGCTGCCACATGCGAAGGTGAGATTTGGTTCTTCGCAGAAGTGGAAATTGGAAGATCTCCAAACCCGGGTTGGACGACAAGAAAACGCTGCCAGATTGGCTCAAAGCTGGAAGCTCCAGACTCTGCAAGGAACTCATGCCCTGCAAGGACAAGCGACCACCAACTTGCTCCAAAGCTGGGAAGTTGACTTCAGAGAGTGCCAGATTTCCCTGGATCACCAAATCCAAATCAACCTTCTCCAACCCAGGGGCAACTATTTGATGCAAAGCCACATTACCAGAAACGGCAATACTCCCATTCACCACAATCAACTGCTGCAAGTTGATGGTTTCAAGAAGTGGGCTCCATGAGATGGCCAAACATCCTTGGATGGACTTGAGCCGGTTGCCTGCTTTGACGCAAGTCACATCTTTGAGCAAAGGATCTTCAGAAGTCAGCAGAATGCTTCCCTCTATGGCCACACCTCCCATGGGATCCGGAACCGTTACGAAGGCCTGGCTCAGAACCAAGCAGCCATCAGCATCATAACATGTTGAACATGTTGACATTCCAGAGACCCTCGTAGCATATTGAGGGCACTGACCTTGGCAGCAAAAACCATCCAGGAAGTCAGCTCCCAAGCCGGCATCTTCATCTGCGCATTGACATCCAAAGATTGCTCCCTCTGCATCTTCTACTGAAACCGTTCCGCCACCGCAGTTGGAGGTGGCCCAAACGGGTCCTGATGGACAGAAGCTTGGACCGCTTTTTGCCAGACTCCAAAATGTGGGCTCAGCTAAGAGTGGATTCAGCTCCAAGGTCGTCAAGGCTTCATTCTGAAAAACACCGAAGAGGCTGGTTAAGCTACAGGATACTGTCTGCTTGGGCACCTGGAACCTTGAGAGAAGAGGCAATTCTACTGAAAGAAGGGCGGCATTTCCGAAGATGGCGAAGTAGGG